AGTTTTTTTCGATTTCAGACACTTTTTGACGGTTTAAACCAGTATTATACCCTTGTCATGTCAAAAACCACTTTTTGACGTCAAAAACCCAACCCTGCTTTTAGTTAAATTAGAAGTAGCCCTTATTGTATTTTTAGCATCTTTCATTTGAGCAACTTTGTTTAGAGCACTTCAGGTGAATTTATGTTCTTTTCTATAAAGAAATAGTTTCAATTCTTAGTGTTGGGCAAAAATCAGTTTGATTGAATCAGTTTCAGATCAATTCTCGTCAAATCGAGAACTCTTTTCGATGCAATTAAGCTATGAAGATAGAACAATAAATGGCGGAAGATATTGCAAACCTCTTAATTTCAATTATAGTAAATCCTTTACCTCCTTAATCAATTTGTGAATCTATTATTTTGTTTCTCCAGCAAGAAAAAAGTAATTTTAAAAAGAGAGAGAAATAAATACTTTAATAAGAAGAGGCATATCTTCATTATGGGATCTGCATATTTTTTAAAACAGTCTATTCATGAAAATTCTCAAAAACCTTCATTTTCATTACTCAATTGTACATTGTTGTTTTCACTACAAAATGGTGATTATGAAGGATAAATTGTAATAGTTGACTTCGCTGTGACTTGAAAGATAGTCATTAGCAACTAAGTATTGATAAAAAAAAAAGTGCCAAGAAAATTCCCCATTTATGTATTGTTAGCATCAGGGTTGGGTTTTTGACGTCAAAAAGTGGTTTTTGACATGACAAGGGTATAATACTGGTTTAAACCGTCAAAAACCCGTCAAAAATGTCAAAAACTAAAGNGACATTTTTGACAGTGAGGTTTTTGACGTGACGGTTTAAACCATGGTTTAAACTGTCAAAAACTGTCACATGTCAAAAACCTGCCAACCCTGACTAAAAGTTAGAACATTGATACTAAGTAATCAATTCAATTTTGTAATGAAGTATAAATTTTCTGTGTTGAATATTTTTCCTTTGCGTAAGCGCTACTTTTTTTATTTGATAAAGTTATGCATAATTTTATTGATATTCTATATTTATCTAGAATTAAATAGTATGTACACCCTAAAATTGCACTAATTTGAATTTCGTAAACGGCAACTTTTTGTTTCTCTGTTTTTGTACTTACCCCTGAAATAGGTTCTTCAGTGTTATTATATTTAAATTTAAATGGTACATTGTAAAACATTGTAAATGTTTATTTAACTTAAGTATATTTTTATATGAATGTTACAGTGTGCTATGCTTAGTGAGATAATCAATTTTTTTTTTTACTTGCCTAAGCTTAAGAAAAGTAATAAAACTGTTTTTCATTGAAACTTGTGAATATACCGAAATTTTTTTATACTATATATGTCTATACCAAATATATATATCTGATATTTAGTATGTACATAAATATTTTGTTTATTTACACAATTTTGTTTAGTATCACGAAAATTTTAGGTGCAAAAGAATTAAAGACTTAAACAATTATTTAATAGTATAAACAATTATAAAGTAGTTTTCAGCTTTTGTAATTAATTCTTAATACATATTAATGTATTGAGAGTTAATGTATATATGTGTGTGTAAAATTAAATGTTTTAACAATTAGAAGCTGGCTAATATAAATCATTATTAAAATCTTGACATCTCAGGGAACTTGATTTTGGAGTGATATTATTTGAGGATTGATCACCCTGTTTTACTTCCATAAATTAAAAAAAATTAAATAAAATATTTTTCATTGTAACATGTGCAAGCCTTAAAAATTGAGCTTAAATTTTTTTTTTAATTAATTTTTTTTTTTTTTAAACATTAAAAGAAAAATTAAAAGCTTTTATGCTTACACTTTTGAAATGATATAGTACATAAAAATAGATTGTAGTTAAGAAAATTTTTTAACTTTATAAAAGAGTTCATTATAGTTAATAAAGATACTTTTCCAAAAAATGTACATAGTTTACTATAATCTTATATGCATGCATAATTTAATTGTTGTTCCATTTTAAAACATCAGTTCAGATATGAACAAATCATGTAAATTAAATGAAAAGTTTTTATCTAACTTAAAACAAAATCAGGAAATTAAACCAAGTTATAATGAGATATCTGGAAGAGATTATGTTATGTAAATACATATTATATATACTTGTAGCAATGTATCTTTTGTAAAAAAGAAATCATTTCTGTATTTTTTTATTTTAAAAAAGGGTCCTAGCCGAGGTAGGCGGAAAAAAGTTAAATCTAGCAGCGAAGTGGATGAGACTCCTCTGTCTGAGGAGGAAGATGAACCACAGCCAAGTTCCTCTGGTGAAGTAAAACTAAACAAAACAAGAATTCCCTGCACTTTTGGCAAGAAATGCTACAGGTCAGTATCAAATGAATTTTGTTTAGCTGACACTCAGAGTTAGAATTAATTCTTTTCTAAGGAATATTTTTCTTTTCACAAATAAACAAATGGGTGGATTGAAATATTTTGTTAGTAGCTATATTTAAATGCTATAATATGATTTAAATATAATTTATTAAATTTCAAACCATGATAAAAAATATTTAATATGAAATTAATGTTAAATTAAGGAAACTATAACTTAAGTATTTAAAAACAATTAAATTAAACAGTAAACAGCATATTTCTCTGACCCCAATATTCTGCTTACATTTCTAGTCTTAAGAAGGAATTAATTTTAGAGACTTTTATTAATACCAGCATGAAAAGATGGTACTGCATTAAAATTTAAGCTATTTTTTATTTTAACTCATTCTTTAATTATTTTCCTATGAATTTTTCTTTTTAACTAAAAATTATTCTCTTTTGAATAAAAAATTAAAATTTAAACCTAAAAAGTGTTAAACTGGGTAATATCTTAAACCCAAAAGCCCATTAAAACCCATCCGGGCTAGGTTTTTTTAAACCTTGATTTCAACTGTGTTATTTCATTTAATTAATTGTATTTTCACAGGAATATTTCTTTGCTTTAAAGAAAGTAAAGTATTAACTTTTTTTTTCTTCAAAAAGCCTTCTTCATTATTATCATTATTATTTTGGAAAATACTTAATAAATACATCCCTCAGCACACTTAGTTCCTTGAAATGAAATTCAGTTACCTTGCTATCCACTAATTTTTATGCAAATCTTTTGTTTTTAAATAAGATGAAATTATCTTAGTTTTTTCTCTTTTCTTCTCCCCAGACGGAATGCAAGTCATAAAGACCAGTTTAGTCATCCTGGTGACTCTGATTACACATCAGAAAGTGAAAACAAGAAGAGTATACAAGATGCCATTAGTGAAAGTGATGGTGAGGAAAAAGCTCCTAAAAAGGAATGTCCCTATGGTGCAAACTGTTTCAGGTAAAAGTTATTTTAATATCATTCTGCAGCAAATTATATAAATGAGCCTCATTGATCTGATTTCCCACTTCTATTTAAGCAACACGGTGTTCAAGGAGTAAAATCAGGAAAATTAACTAAAATGCCAAAAAAGTCAGGGAAAATAAATTCATATGAGTTTGAAATACCTGAAAGGTCAATTTTTTTTCTAAAAAAATTAGTCAAGGTAATTCAAGGTAATTAGTCAAATTAGTCAATAATAATTTTTCACTCGAAAGGTAATAATTTTTCACTTGAAATTTTTTTTTTCAAATACAAGTGTTGAGCTGTGGTGGCACAGGGAATAAAGTCCTTGCCTCTCAATCAGGCCCTGTGGCAGAATTTTTTCAAGCTATCTGCGACAAAACTAACAAATATCTTTCTGCAAGATACTTTTAATAATAACAAACATATATGTTACTCATACTTAAAATAATAAAAGCGCTGTGTTTACAAAAAAAAAAACTATTATAGTTTTTTTAATTGAACATGTAACTATTTTTTATTTTAATATTTTGTTGGGGGACAAACTCACTATTTATTTCCTTCGTATTTCGTAAATAATCATCACAATAAAAATTATGAAATCCGTTGCCGAAAAAAGATCGACGTTGAAATACCGCATCGGACTCCTCAAAAAGAGATTACTCAAATGCGTGTTTAGTTTCGAGATTAGGTTGTTGTAATAAATAATATTACTAATAATAAATAATAATAATAATAAATAATAGTAATAAATAATATTTAAAAACTATGGAAAAATAAATAGCAATAACTGTCAAAAGTTCGATAGAATCATTGCTTTAAAAAGTAAATACTCAAATGCGAGATTCGAATTTTCCATATTGTTTTGAAATCTACCGGGATATTTAAAAACCATGTGAAAATTAATATCAGTAACAGCCGAAAATTGAATCGAAAAATTACATCGATTTACGATACGATCGTCGTAAATTGAGCAGGTCAAAAAGTGATTATCTAAATGCATGATTTAAATATTATGTGTAAATTTCTGTAGGAAAGAAAAATCCTTCTGCAAGAACCCTGTAATGTTCTGCGACAATGTCGCCAAGTCGCTGCGATTCTGCCATGGGGCAATTAGGTAACCCAGATTCAAATCCCAGTGATAGCTGGTCAATGCTCAACTTGCACTGAGCACTGTGCTGGCCTAAAATATCCTTAGTGCTAGACTGATCATGGGTTTGAATCCCCTTGCCATCAGGCTAACTGTGGGAGATTTTTGTCGTCTTTCTTTTCAAGAAATGCAAATGTGAGCTAGTTTGATAGAGGAGTTCCTCTGTCTTCTGAATTAATTTCGAAACTACAAAGCAGCAGAGTTGAACTTTGATAGTTGTAAACTCAAAGTTCAATTGGCTGTTAAATACTGGTTATAAAATAAAATAGAGCATTACAAGTCAGGGAATTGAAAGAATAAAAAATATTTTTACATAGCAAAAGTAGAACGGCATATTACATTCTTTTTATTTTGCCAAAATTTTTTAATCTCAATGATATCACATAATATTCAATTTATAAAAGAAATAAAAAATTACATTCAATAATTAATGATTTATGGGGCAAAGTATGACTAAAATGAATTCTATATTTAGTTAAAGTTCTTCAATAATCTCTTCTGTTTCCGATTCACTCTTTAAATGCCTATTATTTATTAACAAACTTGTTTGAGACCCAAATTCTTTTTGAGTTGGAACCAAACAAGCGAAGAACATGCATTTAATTATTTGCTGAACAGCTAGCTAACTGAACCATGAAATGGGGTAATTCTTTTGTGTTCCTGATTGGACAGGCCACCATTTGGAGAAAGTGAACTTCATCAAATAATGAGTGCAGGAATTAGCCATTCAGTATTTTTTCTTAGAAACCCGATCTTCTTTCCTCGGTATCTTTAGAAGATCTTTTCCATTGTATTTTGGATTCAGTATATTATCTAAAAAATGGAGAAAAGTACATGACACCTCTGTTCAATAATTTTTTCATATGGATTTAGATTCTTATTGTCTTTTAAATCATTCAATACTGAACTACATCAGATAGATTTGAAATTGCAAAAGTATATTTTCAATACCTGTTTCTGCATGTTCTTTAAAGATCATTGAAATGCAGTTTTTGAAAATTTTACCTGAATTTTAAAGGTGGTAGTTGTTAATGAATGATGAAACACGGTTGGACCGAGAGTTCCTCCTAACTCCAATAACTAGTTGAAGCATGATACCATTTTTTTTTCTTTCCAAACCAGGTCTAAATGCTTGTAACATTTCCTTATCCTCTTTATAGGGTTCGTACGCCACGGAAATATAAGGAGAATCAGAAATTGTCCAGGGAAACGAAATTCAAAGAAATTATCTGGCGAAAATTTAATTTAACCCCAAAGCTGGAAATTAAACAGAATTTCATTTTGTTTTCGAGTCCGTAATTTGCATACAATATTTAAAAAAAATTAATCAGATTTTTTTCCAGTCTGACCGTCATTAGGTGTATCCTCAAGAATCTTCTTAAGCATTTCTGGAGTGTGGATTTCTGAATTGAAGAATTTAAGAGTATTGACATGTTATGATTTAATCTACTTTTATTTTTCTCTTTTTGTTATCCTCGATTTATTGTGACAAATTATTCTTTTATAATTTCAGACAATAGATTAATTATCATGAGTGAAATTTTTTTTTGTCTGCCTTGTTAATTTATTTGATATCTGTTGAAGAGAAAAAATATTTTTTTAATTGAATTAATTCTGATTTCTTAAAGTATCATTTGCAAGTTTTGCCTGATATGGAACCACATCTGTTTTTGCTAAAAATCGTCTGCTTTTATAAATATATAAAATTAGAAGATTGTTTATTAATATAAACATACAATTATTTATTACTAAAAGCAGGCAATTATTATATCAAGCAAATTGCAGCTTTCTCTTTTTACAAATATTGCATTTATAATTCCGCTACGTTTTTTTTTTTTTTTTTTTTTTTTTTTTTTTTTTTTTTTTTTTTTTNTTTTTTTTTTTTTTTTTTTTTTTTTTTTAATTTTTTTTCACACTAAGATTTCTACTAAATAAATTGATTATTTTTATTCATGAATTTTGAGATAATTTTTTTTTCTTCAATTCATTTTATCTGATTACATTTTGCCTTGGTTTTTAATTCACTTCATCACATTGTATTCTGCCTATTTTTAATATTTATGTTAACGTCCTTATAACTAGGTAGGAAATCTGCATTTATTAATTACTTATTTTGTCTTACATTAGCAAACTTAGTGATATTAATTAATTTTTAGTGTCAGAACTTAAGACCTCTTTAGAAAGCAGTTAAACTAGTTGAGAAAGTGTTCTTTTATTGTTCTTAATGTTTCCAATCCCCTAAAAATTCCTCATTCTTTTGTACCACTATTTTCTGAGAAAAAAGGTTGGGAGAGTTAAATACCCCAACCTCCTCTCAAAAAAAGCTGTAGTACAAAAGAACAAAGAATTTTTTGGAGGTTAAAAGCAGTAGGACTAACAAAGAAGAACCACTTTTTGAATCGGTTTTAAGTTCTGGTTTTGATTTACTTTTATAATTTCTTCGATAATTGGTAGTGTGACTGATAAGTCAATGTTAAAGGTCGTCTACTTTTTCGTATATTGATAATGATCATACCTAAATTGCGATAAAAAAAAAAGAAAGCAACTGTGTTAGAAAGAGCATTGGGTATTTTTCTGAAAGAACTGCCTTATATGTAGTTATCACCAAACTATATTTTAAAATATCTATATGACTATTATCTATTTAGATAAAATTAAATAATTTAAATGAAATTGAGAAATATTTTTGTCTATATCTTATGTAATAAAAAATTATTGGAAGCTGTAAAATGATTTAAATTGTTTGTTAGACAAAAATAATTTTTATGTTTTTATCTTCCAATTAACACTGTATGCTGTTATAGATTTAGTAATAAAATATATATTATGTAATTTTTCCTTCCCCTTCAAAATAACACCAAATTAAACAGTACAAAAAAACCTACTTAAACCAACACTAAAATATACCATTTGGGTTTGGTCATTTTTAAAAAAAAAATTTTTTTAGCCTGAGTACCCTTCCAAGGAAGAAGTTGAAAAGTGCTTCAAATTCTTGAACCGATCACAAAAGTTGTCATTCTTAAGGATTTTAAAATATTTTATGAGAACAAATAGATTGCTTTGAAAATGTCAATTTAAAATAAATCTTCTGTTTATTTCAGAAAAAATCCCCAACACAAAAAAGACTTCAAGCATACTAAAACTGTCCGCCCACAGAGAGAAGCTGCCAAACAAGCAGGTATGCATTGACCCTGTAATTAGTTTAATCTCTAATAACTTTTAATGTGATAAAGAACCAAACACTTAAAAATAATATCAGTTGAAAATATTTTTATATTGTGTTAAATATCTGTTTGGGTTCTGAATTTTTGAAGCCAGTTAATAAAGACTGGGTAAAATATGAGAATACTTTCTAATCAAATCTCTCTTATCAAAGTAATAATAATAAGTTCAACTCAATCTACAAGTTCTAACAGTGGAATACATTTTGTAAGGTTATTTAAAGAAAGCTGATACTACTGTAATTTTGCAGAGTACAATTCTACCATCTACAATTGTAGCACCCACAAAATTTCGCCAAAAAAGGGAATAGTTTTTCATCAGAAAGGCCACACAAAAAGTGACTACATGAATGATCACAGAGTATATGCATCTGTTAAAAATTACAAATTATATACAAAATAAATAAATGCTCAAAAGTTATTAAAATAAATATTAAATATGCATAAAATTTATGTATGCGATTTAACGTTTAATCAGAAATTATGCTAGGTAATTTTCATCCATAGCTTTACAAATGTGTGCAGAATTCTACCATGTACAATTAATTGTGCGCATTACAATTGTTAAACAATACCAAATTCTTTATGCTGATAAAAAAGAATTTAAAATGCTCCAATTTTTAACCACATGATTAAGAACCTTAAAATAATTATCAAAATATAATAATTTGAAGAAAAGAATCTTACTAAGTGCAAAAATGTACCCTATAGAACAATCACATCATGTTGCTTAATCAAAATTTTTTTTAGAAATATGTAAATATTATTGTATCAAATCAAAGAGCTATATGATCCTTATAATTATTGATAAAAAATTTAATAAAATAAAATGAATTAATTTTTGGCTAATAATTGTACTTCAGAGAACAAGCGCAAGCGTATCCCATCCGCTTCTTATAACTAATTTGACATTACTAAAATTTTAACCTATCAAATGATGAACAGCCAAGAACCTTCAAAACAATTTTTAAAAAATATTCATTAAAAATAAACAAATAATCTCGTTTTACTAAAAAATAAAGCATAAAATTACTGTGAACGTGTTCTTTTTTTTATTACTAATTTATGATATCTCAGTTTTATATAAATCAAATGTTCAAACAGCTAAAAAAAAATTATAATAGAAATATAAATAAATAAGCGAAAAGCAAAAATGATCTTTCTTAAATTTGGAGTGGTTGTGGGAAGGTAATTTATCATCTTTGATTGAAGGGAATATTGTTAAATTCTTGCATAATGTTTTTCACCTGCATTGTTAATTCTTCAAATTATTATTAATCTTAAATTAGGAAAATAGATCCCTTCAAAACATTAAAAGGGGAAGTGTAAAAATGAAATTTTGAAGAATTAATTTAACAAAATAGAATTTTCAATCTTTTAAATAGTAAAAATAATAAAATCACTAATAGGTTGCCTCATTAGATAACTAATAGGTTGCCGCCGCACATACTGAAATTAGATGTTTTAAGTCATAAACGCTGCAATGTATCGCTGCAAAATTATGGTATTGCAGCAATCCAATGATTTTCTTTGTCAAATAAACAATGAAGTTGATATAATCATCAATTATTTATTTTGAAACATTTAACATTTGTTAATTTCTGTCATTGAATAAATAAATGTTAATTCTGCAAAATTGGGCTAAACTTTCATAACAAAAGTGTCATTGAGAAAAAGCACATCTATTTATATCAAAATAACAAGATCTGTGCAAAAAATAGAATGCTTGTACACCTGATTCCACAATCCCAGAGGTGTGTAGCATGATAAGTGTGCTCAAGATCTGATGGATCAAAATGCCAGTTTAAATTTTTCCTCAACTCTACTGAAACCGACTTGCTATTTTAAGGACGGAAGATAACATTTTATGAGCAGCACAGTATAGAGTTAAATAAATAAATAAAACTAAATACAGGGCTCTTTAACATAAGCAATCCTCTAAAATTTGCTATGATTTTTTAGAAAGCAAACATAACTAAAATAGATTTGAGAAAAATTATTTAATAGTATAAGTATTGTAAATGACTAATTAATAAAAATAACTGTATTTTTTTTATTGTTTTTGAACTTTGTAGGAAAGGCAAAAAATGGTCAGAGCAAGCTATTTTTTATTCACCCCTTTCCACTTAATATTCTTAATTTCCTTTAACATATTATTATTTTTCTGAAAAGTATCTGTAATCATATGATGATGAGTGTAGGAATGCTTAAATAGAGTCAAATGAATTCATTTATTTATTGAATTCAATTATTAATCTATTTATTGAAAAGTTAAGGATTTTTTTTTTCATCATTAGCAATTTTTTGTATCCTTTCTTTAAATAATATTTTTATGGTTTCTTTATTGTTCTCCACTCTAAATTTTGCTCCTTTATTTCTTTAAAAAAACAGTTTATTTTTTGATGTTAGAGTTCCTTTTAAAAGTATTGCTGAATTATTATTTTTTTTTATTCTGAAGTTAAATTGATTATTGGCTGAATTGACCAAAGAAAACTACTGGTATAAATTAATATAAAAGCCGTGGCCATTCTGCATCTTTGGAAATTTATTGTTAGGTTAGTAATATTTTGAAAACAAAAGTTGTTACTGGTTTGGTTTAATTTGATTCCATTTCTACTATGTTGTGTAGTAAGCAAAACAATGTTCATTATTTAAAGAGGAAAACAATTAGTTATCTACAGTTCAAAGAAACACTTGAACAGTGTTTTTGAGGATGGTTTAGTTTTAATTTAAATCAAGAATACGACTCGTTTAGAAAATAACTGCAAATATTGTAAACAATTTACAATAAAATCTATGTTTGAAAAGCAAAACAAAAATAATAAAGTTGCTAATAACATAATAAAGAATTCCAAATTATGTATAAATATGTCCTTGTTTTGGAATAGATTCAACCATTTTTCATGCCTTTTTTAAACATCATGTAAAGTTCGAAAGAAAAATAAATTAATCAAATAGTTTTGTTCCAATTATTTATAATTACTGAAGCTTCTGGTTCTAAGCTTTGCAAATTTTAAAAAGGGTACTCTAGTTGTAAGTTAAACTGTGGATGAGGGTTATTAATCTCATCTGCAGATGTGTCAGATTTCATTCTATTTTTTGCGTTCTTTTAATGAAATGTAAATGTTTTCAGACCAGAAGTCAAAAAATTGCAGAAACAGTGATGACTATGATTTAAATGACAGTTTTTTGAACGATGACTCTGATGAATATAAACCGGTGGACTCTGGATCAGATTATGAGAGTGGAGAGAAAACAAAAAAACTAACAAAAGTCAAAGGAAGCAGCAGTAGCAGCAGAAAGGGTGGAAAGAAACTGTGAAATATCCATTCTGTGTTCTCATTCATGCCGTACAAATCATAAATAGCACTTCTTTCACAACAAAAACTGTTTTCATCACCCATTCCCCCTTTCCCCCTTTGATGATTGCATGTCACTCATCAATACAGAGTTATTACTTAGATGAAACATCTCTTTGTTTCTTCAGAATAGATTAAAAAAAACTATTAGATGATTGTCTGGATGAAAAAAAGTTATAATTTTTTTTTTCTTTTGCTGCAGCTGTGCAAATTGTTTTTATTAGTCTTTTATTGTTTGTTAAATGTGTTGTATGACTTGCATTAGAATCTACGACTTTGAGTTTTGTTATATTTTATTTTAAACAAAAAGAATATGTACATATTTATGTGTTCATGGTTTTAAAACTTTTTATACAAAAGAAAAATATCTGTATTTAAACTGCTTTTATTTCTTTATCATTAAAAGTAGAAAATGCTGTTCATATATATAAAGAAATATTTAAAATTTTTATGTTCCTTGTTGTTTATCCATTTTTAAATTAAGAATTTATTATTTTATGCTAAATTTGTTAGATTTTAATAATTTCGTTATTCAGTAGAGTCTCTCTGTTATGCAAGCGTCTATGATCTTGTTATCATTTAGAATATCTTAAGCCTTTATAATGACATTTAAAAAATAATTGTTTCTAGATATCTTTTACGCTGCATTTTTTAAATAATAATGTCTGGTTAAATACAAAAAAAAGTTAACTTATCACTTAAATGCATTTTGTACATACGCTCTATGATTATTGTTCAACTTTTTGTTTTCTGCAGTCGACTAAAACCTTTGTTGTTTGTGCATCTTCCAAAATTTTCTTTGTAGTTACCCATTATTTAAATTTTTGTAACTTTTTCTGTGATTGATAATACTTTATCACCAAACAGTTTCACAGTCAAAGAAATGGTGGGGTTCCCTATTACTGTATGCCATATATGTTAATTTCATTGATGAAATACAATTTTTTATTTAGTTTTTGTACTTAATTTGAATAATTTTGTCTCTACAAAAAGATGATTCAAAACATTTGATTCAAAACATTTATGTTGAAAATTATTTGAATTTAATCTACATTTTAATTACAACTTTGATAAAATAACTGTGTCAGGTCTATGTGCAACTACATCTTCAAACTTATATCATGAATTAAAATATATACCTGAATAACATATATACAATCAATTCTATTATATCTATGCACTTATTTTTTTGAAGTATGACAGAGTACTCCAATTGCAAGTTAAATATTGATATAGCAAGCATTAAAATATATTACGTTTCCTATACTTATAAGTAATTTTTTTGCCCATTTGTATTCTTTTAATTTAAAATTACTTCTAAATTTTTTGAATTCTTATTCTGTGATTCGTTCCTCAATCTTAGTATAAAGGAATATCGCATGAAGAAAGAGACAGTTAATTGGTCAATACTGTGGGCATTATTTATGCAAAAGATAACTAATCTAACTTTCTGAGGGTGGTATCTGTAAATATGTTAGATAATTAGTCAATTGTTTACAGTAAAAATGACTGCTCTGACTGTTCTAGTGTTGAGAAAACAAAATTTTTTCTAACTCAAAACAGTTCAGCTCATTTCTTTTGTTGTTGCCTAACTGAATTAATAATGTCTACAAAATTACAGAAAAAATAATTTTCCCAATTGATCATAAAATTGATATGTTATAAATATTATTTTAGGTATTTACTTTTGTTTCTGTTATTTATAGTTTATTTTTCAAATGAAGCTAATTATTTGTTTGCAATTTTAAATGTGAACAAATAATTTGACAGTTAGAGAGACAATGCTGTGTAATTATTTAAGTAAGTTGAATAACTGATTATATAGTTGATGTTCAGCCTAAAGTGTCACCTGAATACAAAAATTAAAAGGAAAAAGACTTTACATTCTTATGAAATAAATTTTTTTCTTCAAAATTTAAAACGCTATATTAATTTTTAAAAATAAATCTTCATGCTTATTTCAAGGTTAAAATCCAATATTTAAAACAATATATTGCGAAATATGACCACCTATGAAGAATTTTTGTTTCCAAGTTCAATTTTCTTGACTACTGAATTGCTTTTCTTTTGTTCTTCCAAAATTTTCAGGTCTTTATTAAGTAACTCAAATGGGCTCTTTTTTAAAGAATATTTTAAAATGTCCTAATTTTATTCTTATACCTTTAATTTAAAGAAGAAAGTTATGTTTGTTACCTTTCTTGTTACAGTAACATAGATTCAGTATTTGTCAAAAATGTGTATATTTCAGTATGGTTCCAAAACAAACAACGAAAAAAAGTCATCATTTATGGATGGTCCCTCCCTATTTTTTCCCCTGTCATTTGTTAACATAAAGTGGTTTTGTAATTTTTGAGTTATTTCATTAGAATGAATCTGAAATATTTAAAAGTAGACCTTCCTAAGTCTTGTTAAGGAGATAACAAATGATAGTTACAGGCCTTAAATTCACAGAATTCTGGAAAACTTGAAACTTTGTAAATACTGAGAGAGAAAAATATTTGGATTTGTTGAAACTTTTTCCTCATATTTTGTTACAAAATTTTGAATTAAAATATAGTTTGGTGGGAGAAGCTGGTTCTCTCTGCAAATGGGATTAGAATTTAGTTCATTATTTTCAGGAAAAAAAATTTTCAAAAATTATTAACATGAATAAAAATTATTTCTAGTTTTACTCTTTATTTTTAAAGTATTTTTTTTTTACTTATTTATTTTTTTTTAATCATTTTCACCTTGTTAGTATTTGAAATTAGCAATAAAATTTTTAATTTCTTCATCTTTATGCAGTGTGAAGTACATAATAGTGTAATGAAATTTAATAGACTGAATTATGCTGTCACATTTCACTCATTGAACTTTCATGTAGATCCAATGTTCTTGTTCTATTTGTTTCAAATTGTTCAATTTCTTGCCTGTGTTTTTTGTTCCGTAAAAAAAAAAGCTTCTCAAAATTTAGGTATACAACATTTGAAAAAAATGGTTAGAAAACTCTAAATAACTGCAGTATTGCAAAATAAAATACTACATTTTAATTAACTTTAGATAAGGAATGTACTAACAAAGGTACTTTATAAACTGTCACTAAATTGGTGTATTATATATGTTACTGTGAATGACACAGATCAAGAGAATGTTTACTTACACCGTTATAAGTCAACAATCACTTAGTTGCTTTGGTTAATGTCCGAAATATCAGTTATATCCGATTTGATATTAATTTATTCGTGGATATTATTATATTTATTCGATATTTTAATATCTGGTGAGGATAGATTAGGAGAAACATCAGTGTTCGGAGTACCGGTTAAATGTGTACTGGGCAGTGGCACTTAACTTGACCTAGTATATATTTCGGACATTTACCAAAGCGACTATGTGATTGTCTACATTCACCAGTGAAAGTCAATGGCCACTAATTTCAGTCATTCACAGTAACATATATATAATGACCAATTTACATAGTTGTCATAAACTTTTATGAACTGTTAGTGCCACTAACTTTGAATGAACAACGGCTAATGAAAAGCTCGATTTTTCTGTTTCTCAGTAATACTGCAATAATTTATTTTTTTTTCAAGTTAAAAATGTAGTTAAATGAATCTCTACACAAATTACAACTGAGATGGAAACAATAGTTAACAAATTACGAGCAATTGAAGTTTGAAAAGTTAAAAGTTTTAGGCATAACATGTCTCCTACATCTAGGACTATAGTAACGAAATTTTGAGAAACATTCTGTGGTAGCAAATGTATTATTTCTTGCAGTATTTGTTGTAAAATAATTTCCCTTTTTTTTTTAATGAATTTTCTTATCCACATTAAAAATGACTACAGCAATTGTTTGTATGCTTATCTCATTACATTAATGCAAATGTAATTTTATCACATAATAATTTATAATTTAAAAAAAAATTCATTGATCAAATTTTTATCATTTATCACTCCTTTAGTTTACTTATTACTGGATATAAGGGAAAAAATTATGCTACCAAACATTTATAAAATTTCTTAATAGTTTTAATAATAATTTCTAATTTAATAGAGCCTTGCCCTTTTATATCAACTATGATATAATAATTCATTTTTACTAATTGTTTTGGGTATAAAAAAAAAGTGTTATTTAAATGAAGTATCACAGCAACCAGTCGTTGGCCAAGGCTCCACCATCTCTAGACCAACAGCATAATGGTGACAAAATACTCAGTATTGTACACTGGCCACTTTTACTTCCCAAACTACTAGTTGCCCATCAATCTGAATCAGTGTGATCTGACCACTGTGCACAGAAGATTTACCCTTCAAAATGACAGCTCAGTACTTTAAAGTCAGTAAAGTAGTGGCTATAAATATTTTGATAAAAACAAAAGTCATCAACAGTTGATAAGTGACAGTTGATAAAGTTTAAACTTAACATACAATCAAAATGGTGCAAGGGGCACTCCTTAAATTTGTTACTTAATCTTAATAACTTTAGTTATGAAATCACACAAGAACCTGCTGTCTCTTTATAAAAAATACTTTTTTCTTTATTTTACAGCTCCCCCTAGAGATATTTATAGCTACTGTAAAATGTGGGCAAAATGGTTACTTCAAAAACTGGTCTTAAACATAAATCCCATTTTTTAAAAAGCAAAAACTTGTAACATTTTATTATTAAAACCATTTACCAAAAGATAATTGTATAAAAACAATTATTTATAAATATTTTTCCATTGTTATTTAAGCTGATAATGATAGAAAACATTTGAATTTTTTTGTTTAGCAATGTAATTTTCAATATGAAAAACTAAAATTTGATCATGACTGGTTTTATAACCATCATTGAACAGCCGCCCCAATTTTGGGTTTACTACTACTTATGGGTTAATTAACTCAGTAGCCTTGTTGTTTTGAACCCAATCCAGAAGACAAGGAAACTCCCATGAAGTATTGGGAAAAATTTTCTTTTGTGGAGGACTTATTGATGAAACTAATCTTCATTTGTGTTACATGGAAAGGAAAACCTCTTAACGGTTAGCCTGACAGCAAGAGGACTCTGACCCATGATCTGCCTACCACTGAGGATATTTTAGGTAGCCACTGTGGTCGGTGCAATCGACTAGCCATCACTGGGATTCAAACCTGGTTCACCTCGTGGGAAGGGGAACGCTCTATTTCCCTGAGCCACAAATAATTCCTGAGAATTAAAAATTCTAAAATAAGATTCTTTTTAACCTCAAAAATTCTTTTTGGATGGAGCTCAAAATCAGCATGTGCCCCTCTAACTATGAAGGTTGTGGTCAAGTACATAAAAATCTTAACATTAGATCAAAATTTATTCAGGGTGTTAAGTTTTTCTTCATTGTATACAAACAAATAGAAAATTTAATAAGAATGAATCTTTTTCACTTCATTCATAGTATGCTTTAAGTTTTCCTGAGAATTAATTTTTTTTTTACTGTAAGGATCTTTAAATAAGTATCAAGATCATTTAGCAATATTTTGTTATGTAGCAATATCTCGTATTATATCAAGAAATTTGATGTTTTAAATAAAATTATTTCATGAAATGCTTGTACAATTTCAATATTATTTGTTTTATTGACATTTTCTTTAAAAATGTGTACAAATGACTTTTATAGTTGATTAGATGCAGACAGAAGAGTCTCTCCTTACTGCAAAACTCTAAGTTCGACATTTTGAGTTAAACATTTTGACAAAGTTTAATTTGTGTAGAAAATTAAAATATTTTTAGAAGACCAAACAAAATAGATCTTTCGTATATGTGTTTAATTTTAATTATAAAATTAATGTCTTTTGACTATTCAATGTTGATAATTTTACTATTGATTATTTTATCTATTCATAATTACCCAAATTTATTTGAATGGAGGAGCTAGCTATTCATTTAGGAATTCTTAAATAAAGCTGTTTCTGAAATCTGACCACTTCATAATTTCTTTATTTAAACTGTTGGACAACCACCCATAGTAGGGTAAAAAACAAATTATGCAATTTATTATTGCCATTATTTCAGACATTAATAAAATAATATTTTTTTTAAAAAAAACCTAGAGTGGGGATGTCACATCTTCTAGCCAAAAAATTAATTATAGTCTGATAGAACATTTAAATTAGTACAACAAGTACATCCTAATTTTATTCAAAATTTTGAAACATATATAGAAACTTTTTACAATTTTGAAGCGACTTGACTTTTTACATTTTTGAATTGATAAATTTTTGAACTACATTGTTCAAAAATTTATTTTAAAGTGAAAAGATGTAATCTATGCTTAATCAAAATATTGAAAAAAAATTTCATTTATAGAAGGGTTTGAAACTGGTTATAAACGTTTTATTAAATAATGTGCAAGCTTTTTAAATGATAAAATAATGAGCTAGCTTTTTTTCTTGAATTAAAAATATTTATCAGTATTTTTAATTCAAGAAAAATTATCTTTTAACATTTTCATAAAAAAATTGTATATTCTGCTGTTGTACTATTTTTTTTTTTATATATAAAATTTCCCGCCAGTACTTTTTATGAAGTTCATTTAGTTTTCATACGAGAAAGTAAATTACTTTAAATATTCTTGCAGCCTAGAGGATGCGAAGGTCCACATCATTAAAAAAAAAGATTACTATTTAAAAAAACTGCAAATTTGCATTAATGAGAGACCACTGTGTATAATTATTATCTTAAGTTTTTCTACAATAGTTTTAACATTATTATTCCAACTTTTTGTTGCATTTTTATCTTTATAAAGTTTACCAAATTAAAAAATAAAAGAACTGATATGTGCATTATTTTATTTTATTTTTTTAAATCCATTCTTGAAATTTTATATGAAATATAGAGTTCCTATTTCTAAATGTGGTTTAGAGTTTCAAAATTGTCTAGAGACGTGATTGAATGATTGGACACTCTGATCAAAGCTTCACTCATTTTTTTACAAATTTTATTTTGTTGTTTTACCAACCAAAGTTGCCTAAATTATTAATCAACTGATTTAGCTCGCTAAATAAAAATGTATAATCTTATTTATTACAAGTTTGCAACTTTTTTTGTTAGGAATAAATTCTCAGCAATATAACTATTGTTTTAATAAAATATTTTATGTTCATTTGTCATGTAAAAATGTAATTCAAATGAAATGTTTAACCTTAAAAATTAATATTTTCACAAATTTTGTGGATATTTAACACTAATTTTGCATGTAATAAATACTTTGAATAGTCAAGATTTTACTCATTTGGTTATAAATATTTGGGTTTGTCACAATGTGTGTCGAAACTCTCTGAACTATATTTAGATATAAGAACTCTTAACATAAACTAGTATTGGTTACTTGTATTTAATATTAATTATACAGCTGCAAATAACATTTTTATTAAATGTCTTAATTTTGAAACTATTTTATAGTACATTTACTGACTCAAGAAATCACAGATATTTTTATGCTACATTAGAGATAACTAAAATTCACTATTTGCACACATGCTTGAAAAAATAGTAACAGATTTAATTGGAATTAAGTAAAACCTTGTTATGTTAGGCCAAAACAAATTGCCTGTTTAATTGAAAATTCACTGTGATTAAATTATTTTAGTGACCGACTTTATATTTTGTAGGGCAGATTAACTAGTCAATTAAAAGTCTTAAAATATTGGGATCGAATAATATTTAGGTATTATTTGCCGGACAGTTATATAATAAAATATCTGGATCAGGGCACTACAAACTTTTTAGACTAAGGTCCATCCTGAACTCCTATATCGCGATTCATATTCACGCAATTTTAACATTCAATATAGCGATTTAAAAATCCAATATCGCGATTCATATTAAAGTTTTTTCTTGAATTATTACTATAAAGGTGTGATATTCTTTATCAGTAGATAATTTAATTATAAATACTAGTTTAAAAAATTATGTTAAATAAGAAACACGTTTGTGGTATATAAACTGATATCGGTTTTTCACTTAGTGTCACAATCATCCCTGAGTTTTTTCGGTCAAATTTAGTACCCTCCTGTCTGTTGGATATTGTGTTTTTCTGATTATTATTTTATTCGACAGCATTTCATGTGATATCTGACTAAAATTAACTGGCAAGCGAGAAAGGCCAAAACCTTGCGCTATAATTTGGGGACCCCTGATCTAGATTATTAACATTACTTTTTTAAAAGTTAAATTGTCTTACCTTTGCTTTAAAAAATATTTAAAGTTGGAAGATTATTATACATATTTTTTTAATCATATTAAGATTTTTTTTCTTTTGGAAAAATAATGTTATACAACCTGCCACTATATTCATTTCTAAAAACAATTTCAATTTAATGTTATTAGGAATGAAACGAATATCTTTTGTTGAATATTGGGTTGGCCGAATGTTCCACAAAGTAACTGAAAAATTATTTTTCAACAGTTTTTTTTGGAGGGAATAGAGGAAATTTTAATAGATTTAATAAAGAATAGTCTAAAATCGTATTTTTATTATACATTATTAGAAGTAGTTATGCATATATTTGCTAACTTATATTCTGAAAGACACATGGAAAAAAGGAATTGGAATTAAATTATTTTATACTGAACCATAAGTTTTGTAATGCTGTTTTTTTTTTCTTTCTTTTTTTTTTAATTATACAAGATCAAGTCAATTTTCTAGATTTTTTTTCTGTTTTAACGAAAGAGGAGCATGCTAATGGAGCGTTTCTAATAGACTTTATTCTTGTATAATCACTTTTTTCTTGTACAGTAAGACAGATATCTAGTAACATAGAAAACTGAGCTTCTCAACGTTAAAATTATATTCAGAACTGAGAACAGTTATTTTTTCTGTTTCTCTTTTGATTTTTAAAGCTTTCTTTCTATCAGCGTTTTTATTATAACATTCTTTAAATAGCTTTTCTAATTAACGTTTTACTTTTCTGGTCACTTTTTTAAAAAAATAGGCAATGTGAAAAAACTGCATTAAGATTTTTAGCGTTAAATCTTTCGTTTAAAAATTAAGAACTATTTTTTTTTTGTTTAGTTTCTATCTAGCTTTTGAAGAAAACTTATGTTTTTTTAGACATTTTTACTATGAGGAGGGTTTTTATTATAGACTTTAATCTTTATTTTTTCTTGAAAATTCGGTAATTGGAAAACTGATATGTTTCGCTTTAAAATTTTCTTTCAAAAATTAAGATCTATTTTTTATTTTTCTTGTTTTGCTTCTGTAAGTAATCTTTTTTTTCTGGTTTAGGATAGCGCTGCATTTTTAAAAGCGTTTCTGATAGACATTTATCTTTTTTAATGTCTTATGGATAATTTTTTTTAAGAATATGGACGTTTTTTATTTTCTATTTTTACAACTTTTTTTTCTTTTAATAGCTGTTAGTCAGTTTTTTTTTATCTTAAATATTTCTAATTAACTTTATATCTAATTATCGTAAACATTTCTATTAAAGTTTTTTCCCTCTACCCCTTACCAATAATACTGCTAAGTTTTGATTATTTTTCTATAATGACTAAACTTATTTCCCTGAAAAAGATAAATTTCTGTGTAAAAAATATTTATGAATGATTTTTTTAAAAAAAACTTGCTATTCAGCTGATTTTTTTCGCCCGAATAATCAGCTATTCGACCAAACCACTATTCGTTACATCCCTAGTTGCTATTTATTATATCATTATAATAATACAAAACAAATGAAATAAAACAAAAGATTTTATAAAAGATTTTCTGAATGATGATTATCTTTTCGTATTAAAAATATCAGAGGTTCACAAATTGTCTTAAGGGATGTTTGGTTACTCCACCTTATTTTTAAATTGCATCACTGCAATGAATTTAACAAACTCTGGTTTAAAAAAATAGATGGTTTCAATATATTTTCGTACAAAGTTGTACATGGTTTACCCCATGCAGCAGGTTTTTTGAAATCTAGTAAAATCTCTATTGAACAATGTTTAAACTTAGGATAGAATTTCTCCAAAGTAATATAGAAATTCCAAATGTAGTAAATATCAGCAAGGATTCTGTATTAGGCACTAAAGAAATGATGCATACAAATAGGCAACAGAAGAAAAAAAATACTTTTATTAGCTGAAGCATAAAAGTTTAGATTAACAAGAAAGATAAAATCTACATATATGAGTTGAAATAGGACTAGTCAATTAAATAAAGCTGGGAATCACACATAAATGAGCCTGAGGTGCCAACATTTCAAACTAGCTATCAGTAATCAGAAGTTTTAAAAAAAACACAGAAGTCTACATAGTTAATGTTTACAAAATTCAAATTAGTGCAATTTTAAGTGTATATACTACTTGATTCTAAATAATATTAATAAAATTATGCATATATTTATTATATTTAAAAAAAAATTATTCCATTATAAAATTAAATTGATTACTAGGAATTAATATTCTAGTTTTTAATTAAATTAGAAAATGCTCATAATATTTCAGATTTGAGTTTGTGCTCTTGCTTTTTTATAGGGAGAAAAATGTTTTATTGCTTTTTTTTATTTCTTGTTTCGATCAATTTTATTACTTAATGTTTTTTTTTTTTAGAAAGGATTGAAGAGTTGAAAAAAATTATTGTAGATTAAATTTAAAAAAAAAAAAGATTCATAACTCCTGGTTGTTATGGGTGGAAACCTTATTTTACAAATAATATGGAAATTCACAAAAACTAATTTTTTGTGAGACCGTAATCTTGACTATGAAAATTTAAATAACAGATAGATTGTAATAGTTGGCACCTCTAAAATGACTCCACATTCGTAGAGATTCTTAACATCTGAATACTATCTAATTAAATATCGAAACACAAATTAAAATAAATTATTTTCAATGTACATTAAGTAGGTTGTTCACAAACAATAAAAAAGATCTTAAATGTCGGCTGAGATTGCATTACCCTAAACGTTCTTTCAAATGTCATTTATTATGTGTGATGAAGGGAACACTTGCTTGATGATAAAAGTCTAAGAGAAAAAGATCACTGTAAAAGAAACACATACACTTTAACACTGCCGTGCAGTAGAAAAAACAACGTAAGTGCTTCACGATGGACTTCAAGTAAAGTGTTTAGACAACTATTTTATTTTTATTGCTAATACTATGAAAATTAAAATACAATTTCAAAACAAAATTTTTTTTTGAAAAAAGGATTGCAAAGTAGCTTATCATAAAAAAATGCCAAATACAGTACAGAACCCGTTATCCGGAAATCAAAAATCCGGAACGAAATTTGATTATTTTTTCCGCCATTTTTTAAAAAAATGTTTTTTTCCTCATAAGATCTTAGGAATTTTCTTTCTTTTTTGAAAGATGTTTACCTTACCATCATTTTGGAAATAATCATTAGTGTATTCCTTCATCCTTTTTTATCTTCTTTTTAAGATTATTTCCAAAAAAAAAAATTTTTTTTTGTTGGGTTTAACAATAAAAAAACGGCTTTTTGTAGCGATTCAGAAAACCGCAAAAATCAGTTATCCGGAATAGCGATGGTCCCGATCGTTCCGGATAATCGGTTCCCTACTGTACATAAAAGTCTCAATTTTGAATTTTTTGTCCCTTATGTTGATTTCTCCATTGCACGGCAGAACAGGTGAGCACTATAAAACATTCAACTGCTATAATTATAAATACAATAAACTTCGCAAAAACTAATAACATTTACGAGAGGAATCTGGATATTTTTCTTTAAGTTCTGTCTTGAATTGGCGAAACAAAACTCTATTTCTTTCTTGATCAACATCTTTATCCTTATGAAAGGAATTTTGTGTCTTTAAGCCACGGTGAACTACAAAACCATTGTTTAAAACAGAGAATTTGTAGCCAGCAACATGTAGCTCACACACCTATAGGAAGACGAAAGTCAATTAGAGAAAGCAAAAATTAAAATTTCTAGAAGGAAATATAATTTGGGTCAGTGCTAAGGATTTCAAATACAAATCTTAAAAATTTTTTATGATTAATTTTTTTCCCATAGAAAAATATTTTACAGTAGTTTGCGTTTCAGGCTTATATTATTTGGACCCAATTCTAATTTATTATTGTAATCAAATAAAAAATAATGATTTGTTTAGAAAAAATCATTTAGACGTAATTTTGAGGTTCGAGTTAAATATATTTTTTCTTTCCGGTGGAAAATTTACGCCAAATTTACGATTTTATTGCATGTGGCGAATGCTTTAGTGCGGGCCCTGATAAGATCACACCTTTATATAGAATGTGTTCCAAAAGGGTATGCAAATAAATATTTAAGTTAACAAAATTCAATGAGTCATGAGACAGATATATATCTGAAAACATTAAAACCTATTTGATTACTGGTGAAAACAGAAAAGTTGAAAGGCAATTGATAGAAACACCTTTAAGTTTGATCGTGAAATCAAACGTTTTTTTAATTTTATTTTATAACTGTCGTTGAACAGCTTCTCCATTTTTGGGTTTACGATCATCAATGCCATAGCCATGAAATGTTGAACTTAACCTAGAAGACAAGGAAACAAGTCCTGGATCAAGCATTCGGACAAACTAGTCTTTGTAAAGGCTTAATGACGGAACTAATCCACATTTGCCATACATGGAGAGGAAACGCACAAAAATCTACTTTAGCCCGACATCAAGGGGAATCTAATCCATGATCGTTTCCCACTGAGAATATTTAACTTTGGAGCTGTGGGAGCCATTAGCAGAATTCGTATTGGCTGGCCATCACCAGGATTCAAACCTTCGTTAGGAGGGTAATCTTCTGATCCATCATTGTCAATCAAACTGGTTCTGATGGGTTATTTTCCTCATTGGTTATAGAATAGGTTTCAATGTTTTATTTTTTCTCTTTTAACCATTTTTTTATGGCACCTAGCACAGCATCTGCTATTCTGGTTCCTAAGTTGTCCTAGTTGAATATTAATTTGCAACCCAGAATGTGTTTACTGTTAAGAAGTATTTTAAAAATAATGGTAGATTTAATAAAATGGGTCAATCCAGAATTTTGAGGAGATTTTGACTAGATGAGTAACTGGAAGCTGGAATTTTTAAAAAAAAATTTAATGCCAATTTGACATTTAATTTTAATTGGATTCATTCCTCTGTAATATTTAACTCTTTGATTTACATTTCAAATACAGCATGCCATGGACTTTGAGCAAAGTTTCTGACGGGGTCAATTTGACTAGCAAAGTGATATGCTTATGGAAGCATATTGTACCAAAAATGCATAATTTCTTTTGCATTCACTATAAGAGAATAAAGTGACAAATTCGTGCAAAACTTTTACCCCTGTGAATAGAACCCTGAAGCCATTACGCTTGTAAAAATGTATTGCACTCAGTACAATATTTACGCAATGGCACACCCGGGCAGTGCCCGGGGCCCTTGAGAACCTTACTTTTTAAAAATTGCATTAAGAAAAAGAAAAGATAACAACATTGCATTATATAATTTTTTTAAATATTGGGCTGTTCGGAAAGTAATTTCGTTTTGGGGGGGGGGGAATGAAAGACAATTTTCGTATAAGGAATAAATATTTTACTAAATTATTTATTGGCCATTCTGGTCCAACACCGTTTGCCATCCTTTTGGTAGTAGCATGATTGCATGCTCATAAAATCTTTGGTCTTTGCTGGCAAAAAAACTGATCCAGGTGATTTTTGACCTCTTCATTTGAAGTAAAGGTTTCGCAGTCCAAAAAATGTTGTAGCGACCGGAACAAATAATAATCCGAAGGCGCCAGATCTGAAAAATATGGTGGGTGTGGCAGTGCGTCCCATTCAAGTTGTATAAGCTTTTGGCGAGTGACCAAACTTGTATGAGGTCTCACATTATCTTGGTGGAACACTATACCTTTTCTGTTGATTAATTCTGGCCTTTTTTGTTCAAGAGCATCATTCAGTTTGTCCAGCTGTCGACAATAGACTTCCGAATTAAGTGTTGTTTTATCCGGTAAAAGCTAAATAAAAAAAACTATTCCTTTAAAATCCCATCCAACAGACAGCATCACCTTTTTTTTGATGGATATTGGCTTTCGAAATGCTTTGAACCACTTCATCTTTTTTGCTTCATGATCTCTTGAGTTTGACATTGTTATAAACAACCCATTTTTCGTCCCCAGTAATGATGCGCTTCAAAAATGGATCATTTTCATGACGTTTGCGAAGCGAATCACAGACGTCAACGCGACGACACAAATTTCTCTCCGTGAGAACATGGGGAACCTATATCGAGCTTATACCCAGGCCTTTCAAGTGGTCATAAACAGTTGAATTCGATAAATTTAACCTCTCACCGATCTCGTGTGTTGTTATTCGCCGATTTGCATCAACTAATGCCTTCATCGTGTCCTTATCAGTTTCAACGGGTCTTCCAGAACGTGGTGCATCTTCGACATCAAAATTGCAGAATCGAAATTTTGCAAAACAATTCTGACACTGGCGTACTGTCAACACATCTTATTCATACACATCGGTAAATTTCTTTCTGGCATGAACAGAATTGGCGATCGAAATGGGCTGCAGGTGGCGTAGAGCAGAACTCTTTTCCTATGGCAACACTTCACATGCTTTCCCCATTAGCGTGTGGAAAGTCATAGAGGAAGGAAGTACGTTAGTTTCTCTCTTGATTTTCATATAGATTAAAATCTTTCAACTTGAAACACTATATGAAACTGAAAACTGCATTAAACATAGTTCTAAAGAAAAGTATCATGGAAATTTTAAAAAATATTTTGATTAAATAAAAAGGGAAAATATCGTAGTACATTCCTATACAACTGAAAAGAGGAGGAGAGGGAAGGGAGAAGGGCTAAAGGCATGAAACCGGTCTTTCCCCATCGCGATCGCGAATTTTTACCTTTTCTATAGTAAAAAAGTGAAATATGGCGAAAATGCTGTTTATTGCTCTCCATATTTAAAACAGCACCACCCAAAAACTGCTGCGTAGAATTAATCGAACTTCTTCACACACAAGCCTTGCCATATCAGCTCTCAAAACATATAATGATAATGCTGCTTAAGTGTGAAGTTGGGTTCGAAAAAATACAATTAAATCCTCTGTCGGAAAAACGAAATTACTTTCCGAACAACCCGATAAATATATTCTCGTGTAAAAAGTGTGCCTTCTTTTCTACAAATAGTGATTGATTATCATGCAAACACCAATAGCTTGAACAGTTTATCACTAGGAAAATTTAAAAAGTCAACTACAATCTATTTTTCTATGTTAAAATGAAGTTTTTAGATACTCAACTCTCTAATCCATAATGTCATTAAATATGCTTTTATTTTTAACATTCTGTGCCCGGGGGCCCTGCTTGCACTTGAAAAGCACCATACTTTTTAAAATCTGTTCTACGAGGGTAAAGCAGTGAGTGCTTAAACAATTTTTATCCATAGTAAAGGCAGATGTGGAGTCAGGAAATGATTAAGTTCACGAATTACACTTAATTTATGAACGACACTTAATGTTGCACTTAATTTATGCAGGAAACTGCAGTGTACCAGGTCTAGGCACAGTTTTTACTACTGCATTTTGAACTTAAAATACATATTGGGATGGACTAAGGAGCAACAAAGACTGGTGAGTTCGCACACACCAATATTTTCAGTCAATGGTTAAAGTCGAAGATAAGACAGATAAAAAAAGAGGGAGAAAAAGTAAATAGCAACAAAAAGGAAAGAAAAAAAAAACACAAAATTAAAACTGGAAAAAAAAAGTTTTTTTCAATTAGTTAGGGCATTTTGATTAAAAAGTATACAGGGCTAATTGGTTAAGTTTAATAGTGGTTGGGGCTCACCATTGCGTAAATTAGTCTTTTTTTTTCAGGATTTCCTCATATTCTTTTAGCAAATTAATCAGGTGAGTTGCCTTCTGTTTCAACTTTGGATTCTTTTAGATAGATCTCTTCCAGGCTATGAAAAATTCCAACTTTGGTTATTTAAAGTGGTNGGCCATTCTGGTCCAACACCGTTTGCCATCCTTTTGGTAGTAGCATGATTGCATGCTCATAAAATCTTTGGTCTTTGCTGGCAAAAAACTGATCCAGGTGATTTTTGACCTCCTCATTTGAAGTAAAGGTTTCGCAGTCCAAAAAATGTTGTAGCGGCCGGAACAAATAATAATCCGAAGGCGCTAGAACTGGAGAATATGGTGGGTGTGGCAGTGCATCCCATTCAATCTGTGAAAGCTTTTAGCGAGTGACCAAACTTGTATGAGGTCTCACATTATCTTAGTGGAACACTATACCTTTTCTTTTGATTAATTCTAGCCTTTTCTGTTCAAGAGCATCATTCAGTTTGTCCAGCTGACGACAATAGACTTCCGAATTAAGTGTTGTATTATCCGGTAAAAGCTTAAAAAAACTATTCCTTTAAAATCCCACCCAACAGACAGCATCACCTTTTTTTGATGGGTATTGGCTTTCGAAATGCTTTGAACCACTTCATCTTTTTAGCTTCATGATCTCTTGACTTTGACATTGTTATAAACAACCCATTTTTTTGTCCCCAGTAATGATGCGCTTCAAAAATGGATCATTTTCATGACGTTTGCAAAGCGAATCACAGACGACAACGAGGTGACACAAATTTCTCTCCGTGAGAACATGGGGAACCCATATATCGAGCTTAAACCCGGGCCTTTCAAGTGGTCATAAACAGTTGAATTCGATAAATTTAACCTCTCACCGATCTCATGTGTTGTTATTCACCGATTTGCATCAACTAATGCCTTCATCGTGTCTTTATCAGTTTTAGCGGGCCTTCCAGAACGTGGTGCATCTTCGACATCAAAATTGCAGGATCGAAATTTTGCAAACCAATTCTGACACTGGCTTACTGTCAACACATCTTATTCATACACATCGGTAAATTTCTTTCTGGCATGAACAGAATTTTTACCTTTTCTACAGTAAAAAAGTGAAATATGACGAAAATGCTGTTTATTGCTCTCCATATTTAAAACGGCACCACCCAAAAACTACTGCGTAGAATTAATTGAACTTCTTCACACACAAGCCTTGCCATATCAGCTCTCAAAACATATAATGATAATGCTGCTTAGGTGTGAAGTTGGGTTCGAAAAAATACAATTAAATCCTCTGTCGGAAAAACGAAATTACTTTTCGAACAACCCGATAGATATATATTCTCGTGTAAAAAGTGTGCCTTCTTTTCTACAAATAGTGATTGATTATCATGCAAACACCAATAGCTTGAACAGTTTATCACTAGGAAAATTTAAAAAGTCAACTACAATCTATTTTTCTATGTTAAAATGAAGTTTTTAGGTACTCAACTCTCTAATCCATAATGTTATTAAATATGCTTTTATTTTGGACATTCTGTGCCCGGGGCCCCTCCTTGCACTTGAAAAGCACCATACTTTTTAAAATCTGTTCTACGAGGGTGAAGCAGTGAGCGCTTAAACAAATTTTATCCATAGTAAAGGCAGATGTGGAGTCAGGAAATTATTAAGTTCACGAATTACACTTAATTTATGCAGGAAACTGCGGTGTACCAGGTCTAGGCACAGTTTTTACTACTGCATTTTGAACTTAAAATACATATTGGGATGGACTAAGGAGCAACATAGACTGGTGAGTTCGCACACACCAATATTTTCAGTCAATGGTTAAGGTCGAAGACAAGACAGATAAAAAAAAGAGAGAGAAAAAGTAAATAGCACAGGGGTGATTGTGAGTCCAAGTCAAAATTCCAGAAAATTTCTTGAGTTAAAAAAAAAAAAAACTTTTTAAATTGAAAAAAATTAAAACAAGGCTTTTTTCTCTTTTTTTCAATATTTCTTAGGTTAATTAAAATATATTTAAAATTTACACATACCTATACCATTTACAGATACCTATGATGACCTGGAGAAGTAATTAAAGTTTACAAATATGTCTTTCTTTCTTGAGTTTATAATTATAACAACTATTTACTGACAAAAAATGAATATTAATCATGAACATAAGCTTAGAAAGTATCTCTCTGGCTCTCCCTTACAAAAAAATAAAATAAACTGCGTTTTTAAGTTCCATCTTTGAAAATTTTATTTCCGGAAACTTCTGTGATCAATGATTTTTTAAAACGTCTGGACCTTCGATCTCCGGAAACTTCCGGATCACTGTTAGCGAAAATTCCGGAAATCCGGATTTTTTCCGGAGCACAATCAGCCCTGATAGCAACAAAAAGGAAGAAAAAAAACACAAAATTAAAACTGGAAAAAAAAAATTTTTTTTCTATTAGTTAGGGCATTTTGATTAAAAAGTATACAGGGCTAATTGGTTAAGTTTAATAGTGGTTGGGGCTCACCATTGCATAAGTTAGTCTTTCTTTTCAGGATTTCCTCATATTCTTTTAGCAAATTAATCAGGTGAGTTGCCTTCTGTTTCAACTTTGGATTCTTTTAGATNTTCCGAACTATAACTAGATACGCTTTAAACAGGCTATGCTCTGTAAGGAAGAGGATAAGCTGTCTATTCCATTCTACTGGTTTGAATGAGACACCTGGTAAAATTTCTCTGATTAATATTCCCGATTTCGGTTTATGATGGTGACTTCATGTAGGTGGAAATCAAAGTGAACTTAAGCTTGTGGAGACGAATTGCACTCAAAATATGTGATACCACATGAGCTCAATTTTTACCCCTCTATGTCTATTCATTATTCAGGTAGATTTTGACTAATTATTTATTAGTCTTACTTAATATTCTGAATCAATAAAGAATGCCTATCTCTGTTTTGGTGAAGTGGTAAGTCTGTGCACCACTTTCAATCTGCACTTATAATACTAACAACACGGATTCAGAGTCAAAGCCATGTGCAGTGCACTTGTCAATGTAAAACTACTGAGCAGTGTATTAATATTAAAATAAAAGCATGTTATACAGCTAGACAAATTCATGGAAATTCTTATGCGAATGTTAAAATGAATTTCTTTACCTTTGCATGTGCTCTATCCACCTAAATCATGACAACTTTTCACAAGAATCTCAGGAGAAATGATTTTTTTCATCACAATAAATTAAAATTTTAACCAATATAAGCAGCATATCTTATAAAAATTACTGAAAATATAATAATATGAAACAGACATTTGAAATTATAATAAATTTCAAGCTTAAACCTAATAGGATGTAATAAAGTTCTGATTTGAAATAGCTGCATTTTCATTGCATGTTTTTATTTTTCGATTTGTTACTTTTGCTCTTTTTATAGAGAATTTGGTATTTCCTAAAAATTTAAGAAATTTAATTTCTCATATTAATGTCATTGCTGTCAGGATTAAGCTTTGCAATCTCTCTAAAATGAAGAATCCATAAATCCCCATCACTGTAATTTTCATTCTTCTAACAGATGATCCGCAGGTAATGTAACAGAAATCATGATAATCTTTGCAGTTTCTCATGTCCAGCTTAAATAAACAATAAATTCTCATTTAAGCTACTTATATATGAATTTATTATTTCATTACCATAATAAATAATGCTATCAAGTAAGGTTTTCCAGAGAAAATATGTTTTTTTATCTCAGTTCTCACTAAATGATTAGAATAGAACACAGTTGTACTGAGTTAAACTACCTTATAATGATTCCTGATGTAATGAAGAAATATTTGGTTGATACAATTTTAAATCTATTGGGACACTTTTAGTGTGCAAACCTCAGTTTTAGACACCAATATCGAAAAAAAACAAACATTTAATATTCCAAAAACAATTAAAAGTCAGTATGAGTCATATAGCGAAAACGTGAACTTATTTTTTTTCAAAAGCAAGTGTGCAAATGACGAAGTTTTTGTGACATAAGTTTTATTCGAAGAACAATAACACAACAAAGCAACAGGGAGGCAGTTCAAAGCAAAATTAACTTATTTTAAACTATACAGTGTACAGAAGTAAAAATTTAAAAAAAAAAGTCAATATTAGAATTTAGTTTAAACGAACTTATGAGCACTCGGTTACAACGAGCAAATATTATGGTATTTGTTATGAGTGAATTAAATAAATCTTTAGTTTGAGAGGCTATAATACTTACTTGACTTATTCTGTTAAAGCCATACTGACGAAATCTTTCATCATAGAGAGGAACATTGTTTCTGGCAATATAAAAAGGTTCCCATGGGTCTCTCCACAGGACCTCAAAAAGAACATCTAGCTTCTTAGAGAGAGGCTCTCTTTGCCAAGCTTCATAGTCTGTATGCTTTTGGCACTTCCAGCATAGTTCAAAATAAAAAGGCCTCGCCTCCATCGCCTCGACTTGTTGAAGAAGTTCAGTTTTTGTTTTTGGCACATTTTTATCTTCTTTAATCTCAAATGCAGGCACAACATAAACAGTTTTATCATCTTTACTGGAATCAAAGAAAAGCTTTCTCTCTTTTGCAAACTGCAAGAAGTCCCCATACAGGTTTTCACTTGGCACCATATCAATGTCAATCATGAACACAAAATCTGTAAGGGCACTTCTCCTGGCAACATTTCGAAGCAGGTTGTTAGGATATGCTACCCCCAGCGCATAATTCTTACCAATGTTAATTTTCTGGAGATTATTTGATAAGAAGTCACAAGAATTTACTTCAGGATAAGAGGAGGGGAGAGCATTATTTGTGGGGCCATTTAGGGGATAGACTAAATGGAAACTAGTGTTAAAACGAACAGAAGGATGACATCGCCTCAAGTGAAGAATCGTCTCTACAGCTAGGAGTACATCTTCTGTCAGGCTGAAGACTGCCACTGATATGGGTCCTTGCCAGGTGGATGCTAGCATATGAAGGTGGTGCAATCCATTGATGGTCGTTTGAGTTGCAAGAGTGAGCCTATTGTTACCAGAAGGGTGGACAACACCCTCGATGAGATAATTAATTATGTGAAACTCTCCTGATGAATCCAGAACACTACTCTGGCGAACTGACCGCATCATACTAGCTCTATCTTTCTGGATTTCGCTCTCCTGGTAGACAACATTGGTTTCCCAGCCATGGGTTTCTCTTTGATGACGTCGATTCTTTCTAGCTTCCAGCCTGCTCAACAATGTCATATGTATAACCTGTTACCAAAAAAGAATTTTTACAAAATTATTATGGAAACAGTGGTCAGATACCAATGACATTTCACTCAGACTACTATAAAACAATAGTCAGACCGTAAACCATAAATCGGACAACCATTCCTTTACACTGATTGCTGGTCTTCAGACCAACAATCAGCGTAAAGAAATAATATGCGTCTTTTTTTTTTTCCTTTTTTTTGCTACAAAATTTGTTTTCATGCTTTGGTCCATGTATAGATACATATATTCTTACAAAAGAGAAGCATATTTTATTATAATTGTGACAATACACATTCTCTGTATTGTAATTCTTTATTATTAATAGCAACATGTTAATGAATCAGTGAAAATGTGTTCAAACTAGTAACATCTTTCAGTTACTGGTCCATCAAAACAGTGACTAAAATTTCACCCAATTTCTACCCCTGTAGAAACCATATTACAGAAAATTTTTGAAATCTAAGGAAGTCATCTATGAAATGTACATAATTTAGGCAAGTATTTCAGCTATTGAGAATTGAACTCAGGATCATTTATTTGTAACTGATAATGAATCATAACTGATAATGATAGAATCATAATGAAATGAATAGAGAAAATTTTTTGATTTTGCTGTTGTGCTTTCCGAACTATAACACAAAGTGATTCTTAAAAAAATTTTCAGTAAAAAGGTATTAAATTCTTTTATATCTTTCTGTGTAGAATTATTCTGTAATCCAATGTGTAACAAAAAACATTAAAAGGAATAATCTTTTTTCTGAATTACATAATTATTTCACCATATTAATTCAAGTAAAACAGTTTGCAACATTACCATGTTCTTCCATTAAGTCAGCAATTTTTTTGACACTGACAGTGTCTCCTTTACTAAAATTCCATTGTGTATGTGATTATTTTTAAATTCAAATAAAAGAAAACAAAAACATTAAGTTAATTATTACCTGAAGTATGGCAATAATCACAACTAAGAAAATGACAGCCTTTTTCCATAATGCTTGGATCATTTTTGCCATGAGGACATCCGATTTTAATGATCTTAAATCATTGTCATCAAAACAGAAAATTCTAAAATGAAATTTTTATGGAAATCAGTAGTAATATACTAATAAAACATTTTATTTCACCTTCAAACTAAAAAAAGATTATTACATTCACAATACATCAATGTCAGATTGGCCACTCTCCAGAGAAAGCCAAATCCCCTGACATTTCCAGAATAAAAATGTCGAATTACTATAACAATTTGACTGTATTTTTAAATAAAATATTTTGTTATTTTTATTTCATCCGTTATATTTTTATTTGTTGCATTGTCATCTGTTGGCGAAAGGCAATGGTTGTTTGCAACAGAAACCTTGACTCCATGATTTACATAACACATATTTAAAGTTTCACCCGTGTCTGTTCTGTAGAACCAGAACTATGAGTACTGTGACTTTAATTTTAACCACCCTGTATATTCATTACCTAAATGCAGAAAATTGTCAATTTCTTCAATCTAAATTCATTTATTATATAGGCTCATAAAAAATTTATTATAGAAAAAAATAATCAAAAATTCTAATTTCAATTAAATAAATTCAGTATTAATTTTATTAAAATAGGTCTACATAGGTATTAATCATTTCATAAAGTGTTTATTATTAAGAAGTTTAATGCCTTATTAATAATGCATTGAAACAGACTAGGTGTTAAATTTTTGTAATTATTACTAATGCTCCAAGAAACTTCAGAATAGATTGTGAATTTATCTTAGAACTCAAGGTTTTCCAGTGGTACTAGAATTCCAAGTTTTTCCCGTTTTCAGAGAGAGTAGGCACCATGGATCTGCATATGATGTAGTGCTATCTTACAGGATGGATCTTAGAATAATATATTATAATAATATTACATATATATATAGCAAAATAAGTTTTTTTAATGTATGGAAGGTAAACTCACTTTATTCAGATCCTAGAAAAAGGTTTTCTAGATGATAAGAATCAGTGATATTTAATTGCTTTTTTTTAAATATTCGCTACATTATTTTGTTGTAAATAAACGAAATAATCACGAATCAATTACACTATCTAGTTTTATTTCAAACTGAAACATTTATGCATTTAGCATTAATGTTAAATTAACTAGACTAGAGATTATATATTCATAATAATCAGAGCAATTAAGCTTTAAAAAATTTCACTGCAAAAATAAATTTCCATATTTTGTAATTTTCTAGCCGAAAATTACCAAACATATTATAAAATTAACTCAAAACTCATTTAGTTTAGGTTACGGTATGGCACTTTTTATTTTATATAAACGCTTCCGGCTACCTAATTCATCGAGATCAAAGTGCGCAAAGCAAAATATGAATACGCAACCCTGAATTTCGTTTTCGCTAACTACGATTCTATTTTAACGCCATCTATAAAATAATTTGATCACAAATATCTCATTTTATTAATCAAAATGTAAAAAGCTGCAAGCTACAACTATTTTTATCCAACGTGACTTAATGCATTTTTCTGCTTTACAACTCAAAGGATGTTTTAAAAGTTTCGAAATCATGTAACTTATCTCTTTTGCTAGGCTCATTTTGTGTTCACTGTTGCTGTTTTCTATTATTTTATCAGTATGTATGATGATGGTTAGTATTTCATAAATTGTTCTAAAATTTTTCTCTTCTTTGGTCATAAATATGGTTTTAAATTATATTTTTCCATAAGAAGATGGCTTTGCTTAGTTTTATCAGCATAATGCAATTCAAATTACCTTATTAAGTGTGATTTATATCTTTTTAGTTGCTTAATTCTAATTCTTTGTTCAAAAATAGATCATTTTTATGTATATTTTCTGTATTAAATCCTCTTCAAATTTCCTTGTAATTAAATGTTCGTTCTATTACTTATTACTCTTAAATGTACTGTGAAAAGTGTTTGCCCTTCAAATTTCATACATTGCATTAAATTTTCATAGTTAAAAGCTATTTTCTGTAATTTGATGACTATTTATTATAATATCACACAAATGTAAGCTTTAAATATTGTAATGAATGTAGATGATTAAAGATAAAATTTATTTTACTTTCTTTTAAAAGGTGTAAATTGATGAATGTGATTGGACTTCACCATTCAAAAATAAAAATCATCTATATATTGAAGTAATTTACAACTCAAAATTTTGGAGCACTTTCCATTTCAATATTTAAACAATCAATTGTAAACTTACCAATTTTATTCTAATATCAATGTATTAACTAAGTAGCATTGATATAAATAATTTATGTCTCTGGTGTTTGACTTTTAATAGCGAGGATACAATTATGTCAGTGTGGGTAATATTATAATTAAATGCTTTTAGGTAAACAATCGCAGCATATTTATTATCAGCATTAAAGAGTTGCCTTTAATTTATTACCTTTTGTATTAACCACATTTCTAATATTCAATCATAAAAGAAAAATTTATATCAATTAGTGTGGGACAATATTGCAATATATTGTGAGAAAATATCAGTTTTTCACTATCCACTGCAAAAAAAATTTTTAAAAACTTTCTCAAGTAAAATAATTAAACAAAAAAGCTGTGTGGAATTTGAAATATTTTTTTTTTATTAGTAAGTTCAGAGTTTTGTAAAAACCTGGTCTAAATATAGATGTATGTAAATAAAGTTCCTTATTTTTATGTTTAAATTTTTTCCAAAATTAAAGTTTGTTATGATTGAATTGTGAATAAAACTAAGAAATAAAAAATTACAAGAAAAATATACGCTTTGATTTGATGGGGGATGTTTCCGTATCGTGATCTGCCATGCCAACTGCAGTCGCCAAGGCAGGAAATTTTAAAAAAAAAAACAAAACATGTAGATGTTTGACTGAGGGTGGCTACGAATTAGTCCCTTTCTGTGTTAATTTTATATATATATATATATATATAGCTTTTCGCAGCCGCTGACTGACTAGTTGTCAAGACTTGGCGATATTTCTGGCAGAGATCATGATGCAAAAATCTCCACGAGTTTATAGCAGTACATATTGTTACGATTAGAGATTTGTTGTTAACAATTTATTAGTTGCAGGACATGGTTTGATTTTAAGTCTGTAACAAAGTGTGCTAGTGCTAGAAGCAAAACCAACCAAAGTTCACACTAGTGTTTTTGAAGCGAAATTGGGGGAAATTTAATCGCCAGAATAATCGCCCAGTTTTTGCAACTTCTAAGCAGTAGCCGGCGGGTAATTTAAAAAAAAAAAAAATTTCATAGATGGTGATCAACTCCCTTGTAACCACCATATACTAATAACCAAGTTAATATTATATGCTTGGCTAATTAAGAATTAGTTATTAAAAGTCTGAAAACTGGAAGACAATCTTTGTAAATACTTTTTAAAGTTAACATTTTATTTATGAAACTCCTATAAAAGTTGATTTTTTCAAATAGCACTTAATATATTTTTGAAACAATATTTTTTATTTGTATATAAATGAGTACAAAAAAAAAGACCCTCAATAAAATTGAAAATACCTACTTTCAGTTTGTTATTCTTTCAGAACAAATTGTTATGATCCCTACAGAAAGGAGTAGGGATCACACAACAATTACTATGGAACGTTTGAAAGTTTCAGATATGGACCAAAGAAATATAATACATGTTGCTGGAGGAAGTCACAAGGGCATTGTTATTTATAAGCAAATAGTATCTGGTAATTTTTCAATTTTCTTTGCTTCATTTTTCATTTAATTTCACTACCTAACTGAAATGTTTGTATTGTGCAGGTAAAAGCACTTTAAAACCACCAGAACTTTCTCTTGGTTTCAAAGTGAAGATGAGAAGTGAATCCAATAATCAACATGAACTGGTAATCATTTTTACACCTTTAATAAAACTTTTCCTTTTTTGTTGAAAGTGACTCCAATACGCATGCGCTGACAGGGAAAAAATTGATGCCACAGGCAAGTGTAAATAGCGATACAAAGCCTAAGATTGTGTACTATACAAATTACTGGCTGTGAAATTGATTCTCAACTTTGGGACCTTTTTGAGTTGATTGGGGACCTTTTTTGAGTTGATATATGCTCCATAATTATATTTTTTAAGGATCCTCCCTTGTTTATTAATTATTACTGATAATGATTGTAGCATTGAGACCTTTTTAAGAATTAGGTGAAACTCAATGACTACATTAATTGTACACATATTTTACACAAATTCATTATGATGAAGAAAAATTTCAGAATAACTCATTATATAATCAGGCTTTCTTTTAAACAAACTGATGACATCGACAATCACATATCTTTAGGATTATGCTCATTCATTATACTTTTCAATTTCAAAGATATTTTTTATAATTATTTTTAGTTTTAATTTTGATTTGTTGCTTTAAATATTAACAAAATTATATAACTACTTTTAAATTAATTTTTTTTATGGAAATTGTGGAGACTTATCCTAAAGTAAATTAAATTGAATGCTGTTATGAATGTTAACATAAAAAAGATGTTCAAATCTCACTTTTGAAAATTCATATTTAAATTTGATAATTTAAAAAATAAACCAGTTAAGTTTCTATTTTATGTTTAATGATTTGTTTTTTCTCCATTAATACTAAAAAGAGTTGAATATAAGAGTTACCTTTTAATAGATTTAATTTAGGTGTCATTAAAGGAAAGTTATATTGAATTGAAAACAAAATTATTCATGTTTATATTATTTAAATATAAGTGGTTTAAAAAATGGCATTATTCAAAGATAAGCACCAGAAATATAGTTAGAATTTAGATATTTTTCCAAAATTGATAAATGTGCTTCTTGTGATTATAAAGATTTTAAATATTTTGTTTAATTATTGCAAATGAAATTTATACCACATTCACAATTTAAGGCTTTTCTTCTTCATTTACTTTTGGCAATTAATTGATTATAACTAATATGAATTTACAGTTAAATAACAATCAAAACTGGTATGTCTTATTTTACTTTGAATGCATATTAGTTATGACTAGTTAATAGCAGCAAAAAGCAATTATGACTGTGAATTCATTGTAAATCCCAATTGATGTAATTAATTTGCATCAACTATTAACTCACTGTCATAACTAATTAAGAACAATATTTGTAAAACTGTTAAGGTGATACATCTTATTAAAAAAATATCTTTTTAGTAGTATTATAAAAAAATACATAATTATTAGAATTAATGGTAGAAGAAAAGATGCACCTCTGAAAGTATACACACATAGTTAACAATGCTGCAAGTTAAATCTGTCGAGTCGCAAAGTCCTCCATGTTTCCATAACAAATCATACCTCTGGGGGTGCTAATCCAGGAGTTTCCTTGTCTTATGGATTGGTTCAAAATTACAAGGCTGTGCAATTGAACACTAGTAGGCGTAAACCCAAAATTAAGTCAGCTGTTCAACGACGGTTATAAAATGAAACTAAATTAAATTAAGATAGGCATTACTTATTTTCTAACTTTCAAAATTTCGTTAATTTCATAAATTTTATTTTTTAATCATTTTTAATAGTACCATTTTAATTAAATTAAACCAATTATTTAATTTTTATTATATTTTATAAAAAGCAAATATAAATATTTTATCCTCTTAACAATCAATGTAACAGCTATCTTTTTAATTAATACAAAACTACTTAATTAAATTCAATTTCTATTTCTTAATTCTTTATTCCTTCATTTACTTTATTTCTCTTGCTACAAAAATGTTTATTTTATCTTAAATTGCCAATTATGGATCTCTTCCCATGCTTCTAAGTATCCATTGGAAGCAAAACGGTCTGCTCATTTTAAATTCTTCCTTATTTCAAAAATAATATGACATCTCTTTATCCCTATAAAGGGAGCGTAATTTATTTTTTTTGTTATCTTTTGCATATGGCGGTAATGTATCTCCTAAAAATATTTCTTAAATGAAATAACAATTCTTTTTTTAAAAAAAATTTTTGTTCAAATTCTCTAACAAATCCCTCTTTCGTAAGAAGCGCAAATGTACCAAAGATCATTACTACTTCGGCGAAAGTCTTCACAAGAACTGCATTAAAACTACCTCCACCATAAAAACTGAAATAAAAATATTTCCACCATAAAATTCTTTTCTTCCATTACATAAACTGAAGCAACTCCATTATAGTGACTAATTTAATAGTTAATTAATAGTTTTTAATTGTTGCTTTAGTTTAATAGTTAGTAGTTAATAAATCAGTTTGTGAAAATAAATTTATGATGGTCCCTTCATTTTTTTTTTCATTAATGACTGTTCCTTTATTTATTTATTTTATTAATGTGTGCTTTTTCTTGTGGTATGTATGATTCTCTGAATGAAGTATAATTCTAGGAATATTGGAAATTGAAATTTTGGTTCAAAGATGTTGGAGATGAGGAAAAAATTGAGAGTGCGGAAGCTTTTCTAACCGAGCTGATATCTTCAGAAGAGCGTCCAAAAGGTGAGAATTATTTTCAATGCAATTCAATTCTAGAATTGCTTTTATTAGACTAGCTGGATTGAATTTATTGTTTTCTGTTTTAATTTATCTAGGCATTAATTGCTAGTAGATTTTCTAAGTCATGGTGTGTGTATATATATATATTATTTATTATTTGAGAACTGTTCAACAATTTTAGGTTTTATTAGAAAAAAAGTAACATAGATAAGTGTGTTCTTTATATTCCATTTGTTCTGTTTACTATTTCAGTGGGGAACACTGTTTAGTATTATTCTAACCTGGGATCTGTCCGGACATTTTGTGAAAGATCCTGTTTTTGTAAAATTGTGAAAAAACTATTCATAGTTTGAATATTACATAAGCGTTATGTCACATTTTTTCAACCAGGATCCTGCTTTTGTGAATTTTTGTAAATAGGGTCCTGTTATTTGGTATTACTACACTGCTCAACACAGAATATTCATTTCAGACGTATAATGGAAACAAAATCACTCACATTTTTAATAATTTCAATTGATATATTTTAAATAACACGACTTAGTAATGTATCACTTTTAATGTGTTACGCGTTAAGGAAACTTAAACAATTCTTAATAACAATTTATAATATTTTATTTAAAAATTACCAGAAAATAATTTTTATTTGTATAATATTCTATTAATTAATTTTATGAATAAATATAATTTGATCAATTATTTATTTACAAAAAAAATTATGATTTAATATTGATAAGAATGTGCACATGATGTTTGTAAAAGAGAAATATTTTCTTGGGATACTACATTTGGAATTTAAACTTAGGGAAACTTGGAAAACTTAGTTTGTCTCAAACTGTCTTTCATTTCCCCCTACCCCGGAAAGGGTTTATTCAATTAACAAAAAAATAATGAAGATAAACAAATTTGTGAAAGATCCGATTAAAAGATAAATTATTTTGTGAAGGGTCTGTAAGGTCTTTTGTGAAGGGTCTTTAACTCATATAAACTTTATATCTCTTTTAATGAGTGTTGAATCAGGTGAAGGAATATACTCATATTTCAGATTAAAAGTAATTACATTTTATCTGTGGTAGGAGTTCATAACAGCTATTTACTTCAATTGTTATGTTTTGCTTACTAACTCATGCTAATAGCAATAGAAAACAGCTCTTTTGCTTATTCATGCTGCAATTTCAAATTGCAGTTAGGAGTTAACAAACAGATAGGACACTAACCTCCTAACTTTTAGTAGACCTATTTACAGATACACTTAGCGATTTATTTTCTTAATCAACTTTTATTATTTTTCAAATTGTAAGCAGGCCAACTGAAGAAATATTTTGCATGAAGGCCAATTTCTTTTTGCTTATGTTATTAAAATATTGCATTTAAGACAAAAATCAATCCATTTATAGGTAGATCTAATTATAAAAGATTTATTGTTAGATTTTTCGCACTCTATGATACATAGCTGCCAACTCTACTGGATTTTCCAGTAGACTACTGGATTTTGGTAGTTTCTCCTGGTCTACTGGTTTATTTAAAATTCTCCTGGGTTTTGTACATTTTAGAAAATTCCCTAAAATTGAGTAAGTTCCTTAAAATAGAATAGAATTTCTTAAAATAGAATTCTTGAAATAGAATTTTTGTACCGACTATTGCTTTGCTTGCTTGAATTATTAAATAAATATAACTAATACATAATGACGTGAACCTCATTTTTAGAAATCCATTTAAACCTTTTTTTTTTTTCTAAAATGTTCCGTTTATTTTTATTCAGAGCTCTCTTTTTAAATTAATTAAAAAAATCTTTTAACTGTGTTTGATGAATTAAATGCCTATTAATATTCAAAATTATGAGTAAACATAATACATAAAATTTTAAGTATGTTTAATGTCAATCATTAACTGGAAAATATTACAGTTTTTCTATTTTGATGACTATAAAAATCCCTAAAATTCCCTATGCGTAAAATATTTAGTGCATGATGCAACAATTATCATAAAATTTATATTATTTTGTAAAATCTACTGGATTTTTTTCCTATCCATGTTGGCAGCTATGTGTTATCTTCACATTTCTTATTCTGTCAAAAATGCTAAAAAAAGAATTATGTTAGATTCCTCAGTCTTTTTATTACAAAAATTAATCCCAAACTGTCAAACAAAAAAAATCATTTGAAATTTAAATGTTTTTCTTTCACAGATATCTCTAAAATTTGTTAAACTTTATTAAATAAATAATTTTAAAAAATTTGGGATATTATTATTAAGTAAACTAAATGTATAACTCAAAAACTTTTTGTTTCATTTGATTAGGTTCCGGGATTTTATGAGTGGTAACAAAAGTAAAAATGAAATTAAGAGCTAAAAATATGAACCTTCTTTATTGAACCCACTTCTGCCAGATTGTGCCTATGAATGATTGCCTGTATGTAAACAATAACAAGCTTCCTACAACCAGACTTCCAACTCCCTCCGCTTAGATAAACTTATGAGGCTTCTGTGAACAGGTTTAATATTCTAGGAAGTTTTATTATTGTGATTTGTGTTTAAATTTGCTTGTAATTTTACCGTTCATAAGAGTTTTCTGTAATTTTTAATTCTAAGTGATCGTAAGCCTAAAAGAAATCTAAGAAAATTAATATCACAACATAAATAAAGTGTGAGGTTTGCCATGTTTTGAGCATTATCTCTTATTGGCCATATTTGTGTAGAATAGTGTTTTTTTTTTTTTTTAATTATTATTTTTTTTTATTTTTTTAGTATGGCATTATAGCATACTTGCGGAGTCTTCTGAATTCATTTGTTGTTTATTTCAGTGAAATTTAAATGGAAAGGATGCGCTATATTATAATCACTATGGGTTTAATTATATTGTATGGCACACTTTTTTAAGCTTAGACATAAAAATCAATCAAAAGTAGTGAAATCATACGACCCATTTAACTGCAGGCACCATCTGTGCTTCGCTTTACACGATCAACCATCCATAAGGTAAAAATTTTGTTAATTCTTTTTGAGGGTCAAAAATGTTAACTATTAAATTGGTTCCTGTTGGAAAGCTTTCTTGTATTATGCTGTCAAATTTTATATTCACTCTGAAACATTTCTATGTTAAAGCTCTTAAAACACTTACTTTACTGCAATGTGGTGATAAAACAATGGTGTGTATACTTATTTTTTTAATCATCAGAGCTCTTCATAACCCTTGAAATTTGTTTTTAGATTATACAGGATTTATAAAGAAGACGATGAAGTTAATGCAGTTAAAATATCCATGCATTCAGAAAGTTGAAGTAGAAATGAAGAAGCACTCTGAAAGTCATCAACCTGGTATGTACTAAGTTTTGTTATGATGTTTTTTAAACTCTTATATACTTAAATTTGTTGTTCTCTAAATCTTGATGTATTAATAGCATACATTTTTAAATGTAGTCAATTTAAGACTGTGGCATACTTAATGACTGATATTTTACTTCTCCCAAAACCAAAGTAGATGTGTACGCTGCTTCTCTTTTATGCAGAATTCCTGATCTGATAACTATAATCCTTTTTCACATGTCTATTAAATAACACTTGAATAACCTGAGATTAGCAATGCAGTAAGGCTTTGCGGAACGGAAAATTTTCCTTAGAAATAGGAACCTCTTGGGAGGCTCTAAAAACTCCACACATTATTCATTTTTTTCTTCTGCAAAGTTTTATTCATTTGTCGCTGAACTTTTTTATTTTAACAGGAGAACAATTATGTGTAATACAATGGGTTTTTTTTTTCAAAAATTTAATATAAAATTACTTTATTTTCAAAATATTGCAAATTACTATATTTTAAATTAATTTTTTCCCACAAGTTCTGTCTTCTTCTCTCTTTTTCTTTTTTTTTTCATTTTATTAAATTTAATCTTTGTCTAAGATAATCAAGGGCAAAAACTTGGCACAAAATATTATTTTTAGTTAAATCTCAATCCTTTTCTATTAGTATACTCTTTATTAATAATTATACGAGTATAAATAAACCTAATGTTATTTATCCAAATCATTGAACTTATTTGTTATTTTTAAATTAAATCTAAAATGAGCATCTATAGTTTGAGTATGTTATTTCTTTCTCTTATGGTGCAGCATCAGCCCACTTTGACTTGCTGAACTGTGTTCTTCATTGTTCTTAGTCTTGGATTTCCTGTTTGTCATTTTATTATAGTTAGATTTTTTGTTACAAAATTCAGCAATCTCTTTTTTTTTCTTCTTATTTCTGTGTGTTTCTTTCTCTGGGTCTTGAATTCACAGGTTTCCAATTTAAGATTTTTGTCAGCGCCATATTTTCTCTCTGTATGACCAAGCCATTTGATTTTATGAATTGAATAATGCCTTTTACTTAATTTAAGAGTCAAGTTAGATATTGTTTCTAATTCTCCAATGTGATTGTGTATTGTATATTTGAGTACTTATGACGTACCCTAATGGCTATAAACCGTGATTACATCTAATTTGTGCTGACAAACAAGTGTTTTTTTTTTAAAATAAGTGTTTTATTAAATTTTTATGGTTATAGTTCCAAATGCTTTTGAAGCTAAAAGTTCAAAATTAACTGCTGATGAGGGGAAGCTGTTGGAAATTATTGAAGCTGTCTACCCTAATTCTCTCTCAGTTATTTCTGTTGCAAAGTAAGTCACACTTTGATCAAATTACTCTATGAATGAAATGGTAGAATTTAAAATGCATCTTTGCATGCATTGTTTTAAAACATAGTTTTAAGAGATAAGTTTCTTCCACAGTAAAAGATAAAAAAATACTTGGAAAAAAAACCAGAAAAATCTGGGTAAATCTTAATGCTATTTTTTAAAGAGTTTATAATTGTCATCTAGATTCAAGAATAAAGTATTATCTTCTTTGCTATTTAATACAAAATTTTTTAATAAGGGAAAACTGAAAAGCAAGAATTTGAAAAAGTAAGAAAATGAATTTCATATATTTTTAAGAAATTAGCAGAGTATAGTACAAGCTAATTTTATTGTAAATATAAACAGAACCAAATTTTATAATAACTATTAAAATATAATAATCAAATTTTATAAATACATACAATGAAATTAACAAATATTTTAATCAGTGTAATTTTTTTTTTTTGAATCACACAGATTATTATCTGAGGTGTCTGCTGAAAACAAGCCTGTGATATCACCAAACTTAAAATGTTTCTCTTTAAAAACTCATTTTTCCATTCTTATGTCTTTCATTATGTCATTGCATATTAGGTCTTCCACTCTGTCAGTTGAGGATGTCCAGAAGCATCTAAAAACATTAGAAATGAGAGGACAAGTCAAGTGTTTAAGTAATGGAAATTACATTCGTACCACTAAAAATGATTCAGGTAATTACAGTTCATTTTGGTTGCAATAAAGTACAGTGGAAAATCCATATCCAGAATCATCGGTACTTTGGCAAATCCGGAAAATTGGTCTGACGTTAATCAAAACATCCTAAATCAGTAAGAAATAACGAATAGAAGATAATTAACGTTACTTTCAGTAAATAATGAATGAATTCATGTGGTTTGCATGGTTGATCTATTTCGAAGGATTTTGTTACAGATTTCTACATCATGGTTTTTAAAATTTCGATGCAAATTCCGAATCACGCATTTCAGTTAGTAATTATTTTGCGATTTGCGGCGATTCACCAGTGAATCCATGTGATGTAGTTTTGCCGATCGTCTTTTTTTTTTTTTTTTTTTTTTTTTTTTTTTTTTTTTTTTTTNTTTTTTTTTTTTTTTTGTTAGCTATTAACGCAGATTTTTAATTCGTTTTTGAAATCTCAATGTTTTTATAAGATTTTATTTTGATCAGCGAGCTTCAAATCGCACTCAATTATTGACAATTCACCCACAATCTCACGGGCATTTATGTCAGTTATTGTCATTGATTTTTATAGTTTTTTTGAATAATCAGTTAATGCCTGTTTTAGTCGTAACGATTTCATCTCAAATCCTCAATTTTTTCAAAATGTGAAATTTTGGCTCACTCTGAAATTAAATGCATGATTTTTGATGGTAATAATCCTTTTATTCAAGATCTGAAAAAAACATGTGATTTTCGTTGCGCTGCAGGGAATTTCGTTTCCGTGATGTAAAAAAAAAATTCATAGTGTAGCGGAAATCAGATTAAAATCAAACAAAAATCATTCGTGTAAAAATAAAAAAGAAGTAAAGAAGAAAGAGTGATCGTAAAAAAGTGTCCAGTAAACGGATGTCCGGATATGGGACTTTGCACTGCATCTTCAAAATATAATCATCCTGTTCATTATTATTATATTTTTACTTTTGTGAATGAATTGAAATAAATCATTCTGAATTCTTAAAATAAGTCCAGTTTTAACTTAAATAAGAATAAGACCATTTAACTAAAATAATTTTATAAAAAAAATATTTTTTAAATATGAAAGATTAATATAGTATAACGATAAAAACATTTGTAGACCTATATAGTATAAGTTGCATACACATTTAATTTAAATGAATAGTTATTTCAATATGTTCAAGGAACATAGTTAAAACTTATTTTAAGGAATGCTTATTTTTCATTTTTAGTTCTTAATTATGTTTATTATTATTTTATTTTACTGGATTTCTAGTTTTTAAAGTGTTCTCATTATTTTGACCTTGAATAATATTTTGTTGGTGTCATGTTAAATTTATTGTTTAATATTCTCTTAATCATTTTAATTAACTTACCCAGCAATTAAGCGTATCATTTCTATCTGTTGCTCTGATTAAGTTCTAAAATAGTGGCTTCAACTTTTTGCACCAAAGGTCCACAGCAATAAATATGAAAAATCCTGCAAATCACACTTCTGCTAGATAATATAATTTAAGATAATTACAGTGACTCACAAAAGTGTTCATACACCTTTGACTCTCCATTAAATAGGGCTCTATTCATTAGTTAAAATTAATATTTTAAAATGGGTATTTAACAATAAGATCTATAATCTATTCTGAATAAAACTGTTTGTAATATTTTTTAAAAAAGTAAAAATTTATTTTTAATATAAAGTTATTTAATTTGGTGTCTAATCTTATTGACCCTTTTACAGTTATTAATTTTTGGATCCAAATACATTAATATACTATGAATTATAGTTAAACAGATTCATTATATGATTTAGAACTTAACTTTCAGCTTCATGCTTAAACTGATGTGAAAATCATAATTAAAATATACATCCGTTCGTTTGGCAAACAAAAATAGAAAATTACAGTTGTGACCTCACCAAATTTGTTATTTAAATATACTTTTAATTTTTAGGGTTATTTCGAAAAAAAGATAACTTAGAAAAGTCATTTATGTTCATAGTAGGGAACCGATTATCTGGAATGATCGGGACCATCGCTATTCCGGATAACTGATTTTTCCGGTTTTCTGAATCGCTACAAAAAACCGTTTTTTTTTTATTGTTAAACCCAACTAATAAGGAAAAAATATTTGGAAATAATCTTAAAAAGAAGAAAAATCGATGAAGTATTACACTAATGATTATTTCCAAAATGATGGTAAGGTAAACATCTTTCAATAAAGGAAGAAAAATCCTAAAATCTTATGAGGAAAAAAGCATTTAAAAAAAAAAATGGCGGGAAAATTTATCAAATTTCAATCTGGTTTTTTGATTTTCTGATTTCCAAATAACGGGTTCTGTACTGTACTAATAGATCTTAATAGTATCATAAGGGAAATATTTGGACGTGGAAAGTGGTGGGACAAGTGTTCTTTATAAGACCTATATTTTTAGTTGAAGAATTTCAACTGTTTTATACCAAGAAACAGCAATTATTGCGAAACAATCATCGGGGTTGGTGAACATCAGTGAACATAAAAAATGAATAAAACTCATTTTTCAAACAGAGTAATTATTGAGCTTTAAGTAATAACTATTCCTTTTAAGTTCACATCTGGTAGGGACAATAATTACCAAACAACAAAAAAAATTTTGTTCAAAATTGATGAAAAACTATTTTATTTCATTGATTAAATTATCCGTATTTTATAAAAGTAAATCATTACAGTTTGTACGAATCAAATTTTACTTGCTTGTAATTTCTTAGAAGAAAATTAGAAGAGCAATAATTACATTCTTACCCTCAGACTTTTTAAAGTGAAATTAAACTTAATGGCCTTAAAACAAGTGGTGCTGCAATTAAACTTTATTGGTCTGTAGAGAAGAGTGTTCTTTGTAACCTTTAAAGTTATATTTTTTTTTTCGGATTAGAGCCGTTTACAGTGCTTCATCTACATTTTTTGTACTTTGCACAGTAATTATACAAAAGTTAAGGACATACAAAATGATGTGTGAAACAAAATATACATATTCAAGCAGAGAATCATACCCTATCAGAATATGTATGTATTTATTTCTGTAATGCTTTCATAATTTAGTAAATTGCTTAAAAAAATCAGAAATATGTGTTGGACATTTTATCTGTAAATGATTTTTAAAAATATAAATTTGCATAAAAATGTGCTTGGTGCATATTTTTTTTTACTCCATGTGAGTATTTTAAGTAAGATAAGCTATTAAATAATGAAAATTAATATTTTAATGAGAAATATTGAACCCAAAAGTTAATGAAATGAAAAAATAACCCTTTATTATTTCTCTCAATGAAACATTAAACGAACTATAACTCACTAATTATTTAGAATATTTGTCATTCTACTGCCTTTTTTTTTATTTCTTAGCCATCATCATTTATTATATGAAACGGGATAACTTGACAAGCATTGTGGACCTCTATTTTAAGAGAACCAATAGCATGAGAATGGATAAACTAGATTCTTTAAATAGACAAAGCATTCATTTAACATTTGTTTGTTGGCAGTGGGGGAGGGGGGTCGTGAAGGTTCTCTTAACTAAAAATTATTTGAGTAATTTAAGTTAGTTTATCCTAAAATTATATTTCAATGCATGTAGGCAAAAGAAAAAAAGTTTTTAATTTGTAATGAAATAATTGATTACACTTAATAAATTAGATTTTAAGTATATTTTAATTAGTCAATAGTTATTAGAATTAAAATGAAAAATGTATTAACTAGGATTTTTTTTCTTGGTCTCAATTTTATATTCTGTTCACTTTTGATTTGTTGCTAAGATGAAGAAGATGATTGAAATAAATTTAAACGCATTGCAGATGTAAAAATTGCTAAACAGATGCCAATGATTTCTCAGGCTAAGCAACCAGTGATTGCTATCATCACTGCTCAATACTGTGAAAAAGTGGCTGTAGATTCGATGATAGAAAACAAAGAGACTTTTGTCAAGTTTAAAACTGAAGGTATAATTCTTCTTTTTTTTTCTATCTCTTAACTTGACATTAAGGAATTTTTTTTTTTTTTGCAATTTCAGAAAATTATTCATGTAACTTACATGTGATATAGTCAAGGCCGCACTCAGGAGGGTCGATTTTCCGGGGGTCCTGAGCTCTTGAAGGCCCGAACAAAATTTCATACAAAAGGATAGTGCTTAACCCTTTGGACCCAACTTTTGCTGCATTAAAATTTAAGTATGAAAAACAGTTTATGTTAATGCTGGCATATTAAAATAAGTATACTATAAGTTTAAAGTTGTTTGCTTTTCCCGGAAGTCACTGGGACAATCTGTCCTAATCATCTTGAATATTGTAAAAGTGCCTATATATTGCATGGGAATAAATAATGAAATTAAAATAAATGCATCAAATTATTTATTCTACCAGAAGTTGCTGTAATTAAATAATCAAAACAGAAACTAAAATTTTGTCTAATAATAGTTTTATCACTAATGTGATGTATTGTCCCACTGGTAAGTATGATTTGGACAATATATCCCACAAAACAAAATGTGTCAAAATTTCTAAATCTGATACTAAATAGATACAATTATTGCGGTAATAAGAACAAACATAACTATTTTAACACAAAATATAGCAAAAATATAGTTGTACTTACCCCAAAATTCAGAAAATACATAAATTAAAACGAGATTGACTGGCGTGCTCACAAACAATAGTCAGCCATTTTGATATGAAAGTGTTGCCAAGTACCTTTAGTCATATTTTTATTCCCTAATATCTAAAGAACCCTGAAAACATTAAAACACATGCAAAATTGTGATCTGTTTATCCATTAGGAAATAAAGTTTAATCTTTGTGACATATATATCCCATTCATATTTTTATTCCCTAATATCTGAAGAACCCTGAAAATATTAAAACACATGCAAAATTGTGATCTCTTTTTCCATTAGGAAATAAAGTTTAATCTTTGGGACATTATATATCCTATATGGGTCAAAAAGGTAAATTTGTTCTTAGTATTAATTAATTAGTACTAAGAGTTTCTATATACAAACTGCAATTTTGCATAAAAGGTCTTCAAAAATACAACAAAATATGAAGTTAAGACTTTTTGTGTTTTGAGAAAGGGGTCTCAATAAAGTTTGTCCTGGAGCTCGTAAAACCTTTGTTTTGCCTTGTATGTTGTTATCTTTTTCCTCCTCTACTCTGGAACTTTTATGGGCAAAGCATACACTTACATCAAGGGGATGGGAGCAAAACCATGTCTTACCCCGTCTTACACCAAAAAAAGAGATTATCAAAACTTAACATAACAATTCTCATGCCATATTTAGCTAAATCCTTATTGTTTGTTAAGGTAGGAATCTTTAATAAACTTATAATAAGCTGGACTAAAAATAATTTTTATAACTATAAAGACTAATAAATATTCAAAAACATAAGAACATTAGAGAGTTGACATAGTAAAACAGACTTATATATACAGACACTGTGAATTAATGAACAACGCTCCAATATGGCTAACAACTAATGAACAACGCTCCAATATGGCTAACAACAACACTTGTCTAATAAAGTGTAGAGTTTATCTTCTAAACAGAGTTAATTTCAACACAATTAAATCTAACACTACTCTCCCCTACATAATTTTAAACAATGATCAATTGTAGATTTTCAACAATGTTCCATCAGAAAATCATTTATGAACTGTTTATAATCAAAATGTTTTTGAAAGTCATGAGAATAGTATTGTACTCAGCACTTTCGTTATATTCTTCATTTCAACATATGTAAAAGGTGGCTCAACATCAAGGACTTTTTGACTTGTCAGCTCATCACCCCTTTTTTTTTCCTATAATTATCTGGCATACTTCTGATTCTGTTAATGTGAAAGCTATAGGGATATTTTCATCCATGACTTTAACACTTGAGATATCATATCTGCAGGATGTTCTATCATTTCTTCAGTTTCCCGATCCATTTTTTCGAATTGCCCATCTTTACCTGCTCTATTTCTTTTGCACTCTGTGTTTTCAATTTGTTTTTCTCTTCTAATAAAAACATGATTTTTTTTTAAATTTTGTGAAGTAGAAGCTGAGGAATCCGCTGAGGGGAGGCCAATTTAACTGTGATTCAATTTATGTTGACTCATTTTTGGTAATCTGTCATTAGAGTTTAAAATGAGTATTGAAATTTATGAATAAACAGTGACTATTTCTTTAACAATTAACGATGGCAACATCAAATAATGTAGAGCTCTCAAGATGCAATTATTTTAACATGCAAATGAATAGAGAAAATATGCACCTTGTGATTTTGATAACAATAAGCAATTGATAACATTAAGCACAATCAATTAAGCTGAGACCACTCTACTCATAAAAGAAAATGGCAAACAATATTTTAAATCAATGTTTCTTATTTTCAATGAAGATCTTTATTTATTTAGACAATGAAGGAAATATTCCTATAAAAAGATAATTGTCTTTTCACATTGTAGGTGAATCAAATGTTTATACTTTGGGAACTGTTGGTCCACATAGGGTTGTCTCGACTAAATTGCCAGCTACTGGAATGGCAAGAGGTGCTATGATTGCTGCTGGGAGCACAATTACTAGGCTCTTGGGTAACAATTATTTAAATTCTCCTATGACTCTTCAAATTTACTAGCTACAACTAAATTTATGATTTTCATTTATCCTCTTGATATATATATTAATTTATATTGGAATAACCATTAAAATATTTAAAATAACATTAATATCTATTCCAGTTTTTAGCAAGCATATTGAATGCCAAAGAAATCAACAATATTGAAAGTTGAATTAACATACAATAAAAATGGTTAAATTTTATTATTAAATTTCATACAAACCAAGGAAAAACGTTTCATTTAAATTATGGCTTTTAAATAATTTATTTTAGGAACAGTGAAAATAAATTTAAATTAAACAACAGTTTTTTTTTTTCAATATTTTTAGCAGGTTCGGGTATATGACGATTAAATTATATGTAAATATCCCTATCTATCAACTAATTGTTGTGTAAATTGATCCACTTATCGTGCAAAAGTTCGCTCCATAAGTTAATGTTATAATTGTTTTGCCAATTTTTTGTTGAATCATAGATGTGAATTTAGACATACCATTAACTAATAAAGTAGTCAACACGTTCTCACATCATACATAATCCATTTAAAAAATTGTGGAGCACAGAATTGCTGAAATAAGCAAATAAAAAATACTTATTTTTAAATTTTTTATTATATAGTTCCGAAAAAAGAGAAAATAAAATTTAATTTAGAAAAATGAATAATAAATAATAGAAAAATGGAGCCCTAAAAAGGATTGTGATTTAAAAAAAGGCTGTTCTACATCAAGATATTTTAATGGAAAATAATATTTTTCTTCTTTTTAGTAAGCGGATAGTAAAAAATCTTTACATTAAAACATTTTTCATTGTTTTTTTTTCTACATTTTATTGTTTCAAGTTATTTCAATATATAATGGTAGAAATGCTGGACTTATTAACCATTGTAATTCCAGGTTCATTTCCGAGGGTAGATTATGTTTTTCTTGTTGGAGTGGGAGGTGGTGTTCCTCATTGCTATGACTACACTAAGCATGTGAGGCTGGGTGATGTTGTGGTATCCACCCCACCAGATCACACTCACTCTTATGTGTACCTCTACTGTGAAAGCGCCAACAATCCCCATGAAGCAGCTGCAGCATCCATAAAAACTTGGTGCCCTCCCAGTCTCAAGTTGCAGAAGATTGCATGCGACTTGTGGAGGAAGGGGGTCCTCGATTCCGACGACAGACCCTGGGAATCTTTCATCGAGCAGGGTTTGCAGCAACTGACGGACCAAGAATCCTCCTTCCGTAGACCGTCACCAGAAACTGATAAACTGTACTTTATGTCGTCAGAAGACGGAGAAATTGTCGACTTCGGTCACCCTCAGCCGCAGGAAGGCACATTCGATCCCCGCAAACCCGGAGCCCCCGTTCTTCACTTCGGTGCCGTGGGATCGGGCAGGGTTCTCATGCACGACGACACTAAAAGGCTGACCTTTGCGGACAAACACGGCATCATGTCTTTCGATACAGGTTTTGGCTCGGTTGTGGAATCCATATTTGGTAACAGAAAAGATGACTACATCTTCATAAGAGGAATTGCAGATTATAAAGATGGGACAAAAAAGAAAGAGTGGCAGCCATACGCTGCTTTGGCTGCAGCTGCTGTGATGAAATCTATTCTTAGTAATCTAGATTGCGATTGAGAGGCTTTTTTGTTCATTTTGAGAACTTCTTATTATGAGTTGATGTATGTAAAATGCCATGCAAAGAAAGGTGTCTCATTAAGATAAGTTCAAAGAACAAAACTTTTTGTGTAAGGAAAACATTTTTAAAAGGGTTTTTCTGTGCTATTTCATTTCCACGGGCTGTGAAAAGACTATTATTGATGTTTAATTAACTGGTATTGCAGTGGTGGATGCATACTGTGGTGATAGGTTTTTTCGGCCCCCGGGAATGAAGTATCACTGTTTTTTTATATTGTTTTTATATTAAATTTGTATGTTAGCTATTTTTAATTTTCTCAAATGAATTTAGGCTTCTTATGCTATCACATGTCATTTTTTTGATAGAATACTTGTCATGCATTTTACAACTTTGCTTACATTTTCAGTTGTATGCCTCTTTGTATGTGTAAAAGTTAGTTCTACTTATATATATATATGAAGAGAGAGAGTTATGCTTTTAAAAAATGAAAATGTTTAAAACTAGTCATTAATTCTATTTATTTATACAATTGTTAATCTCTTTGTTGAATTAGACCAAATTTATAAATTTAATATTTAACTAACAAAAATTGTTATTGTTACAATATTGGTGACTGTTCGTGCAGCAGTAATGGTATGTCGACAAAACCTATATGCAAAACCTATTCAGTGCAATTTTGTAGAATAATATGTTTTAAATATATATTTTCAGTTTTTTTTTCTAAGTTTCAATAGGAACAAGTTCTTAAATACTTAACTTTCTTTGAACTTAATGTTTCAATTTCTTATAAGAAAATCCTAGTTATGTAGTGAGCAATTACATTTCCCACATATATTATAGTTTGCTATCATAGCACATTGTAATTTAGTTTATCACTAATTTAGTTTAAAAGGCAATTAACAAATCTTAAATATGGGTCACTCTATAATACATATTGAACATAAAGAGAAAGAAATGTTTCCAATTTTTTAAATCATTTTTTACAGTTTAATCTTTGTTATAACTTAATATTGCTTGTCGGAACCTAAACTATTGTCGGAAACAACATTTTAATAATATTATCAGCAGGATTGCTGATGAGTGTTGTTTAACCTGAGACATCTATTGAAATAAAAAAATGGGATCCTAACAATTCTAAAAAATATTTTGAAATGCATGAGAATTGTGAAAAATATTCATTTTTTCGTATTATTTATATGAATTCTATAATGATTAAAATATAACATATTTATTTGAAGTCATTAGTGTGAGACAGTAATAAATTACAGAAAAGAAAACTCAGCATATAAAAAGATAAAGTTTCTACTTTTATTACTCGTCTAAATTTTATGAAATGATATTAAAATAATATCAAGCTTTTATTCTAGAAATATCATGAAGATTTTCTTTGCCAAAAATTAGTTAAAAAAACAGAAATTTGTCATTATTTTTTTTTATCATAATTTATGTAAATGGTGATACCTAAACTACCTCCATCATTTTCAGTAGTTCAAGAAAAGTCGGCCTATAACCGACCAAGTGGCGTACAATGGGCAAAATAAAAAAAAAAAAGGGAAACCCTAAATAACTTTTGATCTAATGGTCAGATTTTCACCTACTAGCACTCTATCTTAATTGTCTTAAGGGCCTAACCTATGCTATTTAATTATTGCAAACAGTATTTTAAGTTACAAAATGAGTTTCAATAATGTACTTTCCTTGAATAAACGTAGTTCTTTTTTCTCCAGAGATTCGGGTTTCTCAAATTAAAGTGGCGTAGTTTTTATGGGGCAAAACCTCCTCCGAAAGGAAGCCACGATTGATTAATGAACAGTAAGTAGAATGCAGATATAAAAAAGTTTTCATCATGTTGTAATTTAGAATATTCACATACTTATATTAGAAGGAGATAACCCCCTCGAACATACATTAAAACCTGCAATCTGGAAAATAGGGTCCCAATAATTTAATCAAGGAAGAACACTGTCGGTGAAACTATCTCTCAGTTGTCAAATTTTAAAAAATTTTCTATTTAAATTTCTCAAGAATTGTTCAACCAATTTTGTTCAAATTTTTATTTTTTAACTGCTGGAATATTTTATAGATGTAAATCAATTGTCATAAAAGCTAAATACAATCAATAGGTTTCATTGCCATTTTACAATTTAAACTTTTTCACTATATTTACATGTATGTTGCTAAAAATATATTTGTACATTTTGCTAAAATTAATTGTATTTGTATTTTTTGTATGCCTTTTTTCAGAATTACTCATTTGTATTAAATTTAATGAATACAGTGAAACCCTAATTATTCTACATCTCTCCTGACATGTGTCCAGCTGTATCGAAGGTATATTCGCAACTTCATTCAAAAAACGTTTTCATCCAACTATGCAAATTGCATGAATAGGAATGAAAATTTATAAACATCCTCAATTTAATTCACAATAAATAATTACTAAACTCCAAAAATACAAAATGTTATGTCGAATTCAAATTTGCATATCACGTGAATATAATTACCAGTGAGCAAATAGTAAATAGTTGTTTTCATCTGCCTGTCAAGGCAGAGGAGTGCGATGATTGCTCTTGTTTTCCAGAAGCGCCATCTATGGCTAGAATTCGACTTCTGCCACACCCATACGTCACACCCGTTTATAGGGAGGACCCATTCATTCATCCACGTAATTTTGGCCTGAATCAAAAAATTATCAATCTCCAGTTCAGTAGCCCCAGAAGCATTGATTTGTTATGGGAACATGGAGGACTTTGCGACTGGACAGGTTTAACGTGCATCAGTTACCATTTTACTACACGGAGAGGTTTCGTTTGTCGGGTTTTAACCCACGAACTCTTGGGCATGGGCTTAGCACCTTACTGACCAGGCTATCCCAGTCAATAGTAAATAGTGAGAATGCAATATTGCATTGAACTACTACATCCACCCCACCACCGCTTTTTTTTTCATGACCTTTTCAGGATATCTGTTTTTACCTCCAGATTTTTTATTAAAAATTTATTTCTCTTTTTCTGCCTATTTATAAAATAAGTGTATTTTATAAAGGTTTTTAAATGTACTAATAATTTCATTCGGAGCTTAATGCTTGCTTAAAAATTATAAGTGTAAAGTTCTAAAAATTTTAGATGATTTTTGTTTTCCATTTTACCCTTTTGTACTATGGATGACAGATAATTAGGGTTCTACTGTTCATGCAATTTAAAACAAATTTTGCCTAATGAACAAAATTGTTAGAATAAATTTAACATGTATTCTCCAGAAAACAATTTTAAATTGCAGCGGATACTGTAAATTAAAATAAAAGACAATGCTACATACATATATATATAAACTTCTTTTTTTGGCACATTTTTTCTGCCTATTTTCTTGCATTACAGATATAATGCCAAGAAAAGTATTAGAGTCTTATATTTTTCATAATTTTATAAATTCTTTTCCCGTATTCTTTTAAAAATACCTTTTTTTTCTTCTTTTTGTTAAAGAGGTAGCTTTTTGGGAATTCATCCTCTAATATTTTTAAAAAGAAAATTTCCCACTAGTTTCAATATTTGATACCTAATTTGAATTTTTAAAGTAATTTTGAATTTACCATAGTTTTTTTTAAGATTTTATTTTATATATTTTTTTCCTACCTATCATTTTTGTTTTATTTGATCCCTTCTCATTATCAAAATCATTTAAAATAATAGTGCTCTGACTAAGTTGCTTTAAAACGCTTTGCTTATAATATTGTATATTTTTACAAGAAAATATTCTATACCTATGGGTTTTTTTTTCTTATTATTATTTACATTAAAATGTTCTTTTCGTTTTCATAACTGTTTTCCTCCTGACCAAAGACTTAATTTCTGCCATGCAATTGAAAAAATGAGCATAAGTGCTTCATGTTAGATTTTGAGAAAAACGTTTTGACAGCTATTTTTCTGACCATTGCTAATGCTTTCTATGTTAAAAGGGACATTAAGAAAACTGACAAAATAAAAATTAATTTTAGAAGAAAAAAAAACTTTGCTTTTTTCAAAAATGCCTGGCATATAAAAATCTCAAATTTGAATTTTTTTATAGCTTACATTAATTTTTTTATTGCATGAGAGATTCCTCATTATGTAACATTATATATCATCCATCTCATCTTTCATTATATATCATCCAACACGTTTATTGCAAAGCCTGATTTGATAACATCCTGTGTTTTACTAGGAAATTTTTGACGAGTTTTTCTTAATCTTCTATCAAAATTGAAATTGTCTTAAAGAAATTAAATAATTGTTTGTGGAAATTTCATTTGCATTAAAAGAGTTTTAAAAAAGCTTAAAAATGTTAATAACCAATGAAAAATAATGTGAGATTTCTGATACGTCTTGTCATTAATTATACAACCATTGAAGCCTTAAAAATTTTTGGCATTGAATAAGGTATAATGTATTTCATACTATAAGTGTCGTGTGCTAAATATTAGCTGTGGTAAGGTACACAGTTTAATCACAAACAAAACTCTACCGTTCTTATTTTTAACTTAAATAAAAAATGATAAAAGCTAAATAATTTTAAATAGTTTCTAATTCATTTTTTCACATTTTAGATTTTATTTTTAATAACTTCCCTAATCTTGTTATAAAGGAGTTTGAATATATGTGTGCTTCAAAGAAACGTCTTCCTTTTTAAATATCTTATTATAAAAATTTCCTTTCATTCTAGTCATGATAATTATAGATTGATAATGAGATTAATTTTTGATTTTGTGGTATTATGGATTTGTAATGTTTATGAATTGTATTTTCTTTTTCAAATGATATAAAAATTGTAAAAATAGAGATTTTTCGAGGTTTTGTTCAGCTTTTTTACCCATAATTTTTTAAGTAAAGACTTGTTTTAACTCTGACACCTACAATCATAAAAACAGTTGAATAAAATACATAAACAGGGTTGAGCATCTGATGATGCTGTGTTAAGTACTTCAATCTTTTTAATTAAGTGTCTAAAATATACAAAGACACTCATTAATGTTGATAGTTCCCAACAAAGAGCTCTCTAAACTGTTCTCACAACACAATTTAAAAACAAACTGAAAAGTTTAATTGGTTTTCATCTTAAGAGATATTCTTTCCTTCTCTTTTTGTTATAAATAAACAATTTTGTGTAGAATTCAAATGTTTTTAAAACAAACTTTCCATTTTAATACAAAATATTTTCTAACGCTGTACTGACACTATTTTTTGTCTCTTTTTCATTAAAATAAAAATTCATGTAAAATATACATTTAGAAATAGGGGAATTTCATTGGTGCATTTAAAGTAGAACGATCAAACCACATTCAGTTGGAGTGCTCCTTAAATTTGTAAAAATAATGAATTGTAAGATTTTAACTTTTTTCTTGTAGTTAAATTTTCTGACAGAAATATTCAAAATCTGTATAAAAGAGTTATTATGAAATGAAAATAATGATGTCGGGTGATAATTAGAAATTTAATCCTCCAAAAATTAACCGATAAACAATAAACAACCATTAAACATAAACTTTTCAAATAATGGCCTCAAAAGCTCCGGGTCATCATGAGACGCGTATGTTTTTGAAAAATTGTTTTCAAAGCATTGAAGAAAAAAAATCTTTTTTGAAAAATAATTGTTAACACTGTGCGAATATAAAAATAAAAACATTTGTGGTGTCATTGTCTTGAAAAAAAACTGTCCTAAAACATATGTTTAATTAATGTAAGCATTGTTTAAGTAGGTTTTTTTTTTTTAAATTTTATATGAATTCTTAAGAACTTAATAAATGACTTATTTTTTTCGTGGTACCATTTACAAAATAAATTAATAAAGTTTTATCCTCTTTTTTATCTATGATTATTTTTTTTAATATAAGAACTGGTTCCTCTACCTTGAAATGTTCCAAGGATTTTTCTCCTTTCCATTTTGCATTAGTTTATAAAACTGTTAGATTTTGCTAAACTGTGTATTGTTATTCTCTAAAGGTTAGGTAATTGTACAGCTGTTTTAGAAATGATAAATTTCATTTCCATTCATATTCAACCACAAATGGCTCATGGTGGTGCTGTTGGCGATATTATCATAGCTTTATTATTCTATCAAGACATTTATTTTTATGACTTGGTGCTATTCTCACGACTTGTTTATTCCATTTTTATCAAAGTAAAGTTTGTTTTATAGATAACATTAAAAAAATATTTCTGCGAAGAAATTTTATATAATATTTATTTAAATTGAGATATTTTAACAGTAATGAAGTCTAAATACATTATATATATATATATATATATATATATATATATATATATATATATNTGTAATTTATTTTATTTTCTTTTTTTAAAAAAAACTAAGCTTTTGTTTGGAAGATTTTCTTATTTTAATGATAACTGAGCTTATCATTTTAATCTGAAATGTATAAATAACATTACTTGAATATTTTCTTATCTAAATGGAGATATCATAAATTTAAATATAGTGAACAATGTTTACATAATGCTATTTTGTAATTACCATTGTCTTGGATCACACTCTCAGAAGTAATTTA